CCGCCCCGGAAGCGGAAGTGCCCGTCGGGGTCAGGGGGCGGGGCCAGGGCCATGGCGGCGGAGGCGGCGGAGCGGCACCTGGAGCTGCTGCGGGAGGAGCGGGAGGCCGAGCTCGCCGAGAGCAGGTACCGCCGGGTCGGGCCTGTGTCCCTGTAGAGGCTGCTGTCACCTATAGCAGCCCCTGCGCACCGAGCCCGGCGGGGCCGGTTCTCACCCGTGGCAAACGCTGATGGATCCCCTCTGGGACCTGCTATTCCTATGGGAAGCCCTGCCGACACCCCTGTAGGGCCTGCTGTCACCTATAGGAAACGCTGTTGGACCGACACCCACCCCCCAGGACCTGCTGTCACGTATGGGAAATGCTGACAGACAGACCTCTGAGGAATTTGCTGTCACCTATAAGAAACCGGGCTGACTCACTCCTGTAGGACCCCACATCACCTGTGGGAAACCTGCTGTCACCTATAGGAAATGCTGCTGCACTCACTCCTGTATAACCAGCACATCCCGGTAGGGAACCCACCCTGTGGGGCCTGCTCTAATCCATGGGAACCTTCCTGGCCTCACCCCTATAGGAGCAGCTCATCCCTGTAGGAATCCCTCCAAGACTTGCCCTTTAGGGTCAGCCTATATAGGTCGGTCACCTATAAGATCCAAGCTCACATCAGCAACATTTTGGGGCTCCCCTTCTCCCCCAGACACCCCCCCTCCAGCTCTGCCCTCCTGCCCCTGGGCTCAAGCTGAAATCAAACCCCACCTGACTCACATGGACTCATGGGGCCAAGGAAGGTGGGGGCAGAACCAGGTGTCCCCAGGTTGTGTGAGGCCACATTGGGGGTGCAGACACCCCCATTTTGGGTGCCAGTGAGGCCTGGCCTTACCCAGCCCCAAGGATGGAGGGTGCCAGGAGATAGGACAAGGTCATTCCACTGCTGCCCAGAGTTCCCTGGCACTTCAGCTCCCTACAGACCAACCTACAGAAACAAACCAAGCTGGGGGACTACAGAGAATAAACCTGGGGGATTTTTTGTTTTGATCTATACAAAAACAAAGACCCCCCCAGCCTCAAGTGAGAGTGTGGAGCAAACACAGGGGTTGCAGCACACGTTGGCCCCCAAGGACAGCACTCTGCTCTGCCATGGGCCCTCATAGGCTGGGCAAGCAGCCCTGCAAGGCTGGGCCAGGCACCCACTCCTCTTTCCGTGCAGACACCACACAGTGTTGAGGTTGGTGCAACTTCATGTAGAAAATGGGAAATCTTCCATTTTAGCGCTTATGTATGGTAGGAGAAAACTCGGGTTGTTCTTTCCTGGGACATGGGTAACCAGGTAGGCCCTTTCTTTTCACACCCAGACAGGAGAGAGGAAAATACACAGAAACAGATGTTCCTCTTCTCCAGGCTCTAAGCATCGCCCCATTTCCCAGGATAAGCCTGTGGAAGCCAGTCTAGTTAGATCACTACAAAGTGATCACATAAGCCAGCCCTTCAACAAGCTAATGTCTCTGTCACCATCATCCTTCCCCTTCTTTTCCATCTTCTCTCCCTGTCTTTTCCTGGTTGGTTTTCTGAAGCTTTGAACTTCAGCTTCAGTCCAGCAAATGTTTTCACGCCTGTGTGTGGTTTCCAGGGCATGGCAGGAAAGTGTCTCCCTGAAGGAGCTGCAGCGCAGAGGTGTCTGCTTGCTGAAACTCCAAGCTGCCAGCCAGAGAACCGGCCTCTACGGACGGCTGCTTGTGACCTTCCAGCCTAGGAAACATGATTCAGATGCTGAGCTGCCCTATAACAGCTTTGGCCCTGGTGAGTGATATCTCTGTTGGTGCGAAGTAGGTAAAGTGATAGATGAGCAATGTCTTTGTCCTAACAGCTTGCTAATGTGACGTTTGTAAAGTCTGAGCAATCGATGCAAAAAAGAAAGGGAGAAAATGTTACGGCTACAGGATAAATTTAGAGAAAAACAGTCCCTTTTTCCCTTGGCTTGTTACAGACATGTATGTTGCACTAGAAAATAGTGCCAGTGATAAAGAGCTGGCTTTCTTCCTCCTGAATCAATAAAACAAAGCCTTGGTCTCTTGGATGTGAAACAGCTTGTCTCAGAGTTCAGAGAAGGCAGTTTCTCCCCAGGTCTGTGTGAAAGCCTGTAGGCTTTCTGAGCAGCTCTGGCTGTGGGGAGCACTGTTGGTCTCTACCCCAAGACCTGAGGAGGTCTGAAGGCAGCTGGTTGGTTGCTGTCTGGTGTCTTCTCTCTGTTCATTGTCCTCTTGCTCCCTTTCTGCGTGCTCTCTGTCAGCTGGGAGAAGGATATTTTCATTCTTTATGGGCTTGGCGCAAATTCTGCCCTTGTGGGAAACACGGTGCTGGAGCTGTGGTTGGTGTAGGTGGTCCTGCTGTCTGCACCGAGCTGTGCTGGACTGCTGGTCTTCCCCAAAAAAAGCTTCTTTTCAAAATGTTTGCCCCACATCACACTCTCTCTTCAAACTTGTCTCCGCAGGGGACATCGTGGGCCTTTATGATTCAGCTGGGCAGGGTGATCTGCTCTCCAGTGGCATCGTAACACGCATCACCTCCAAAGCAGTGACTGTTGCCTTTGAGGAGTCTCGGGATGGGCTGCCGAGTCTGCACCAGGAGGGCTCTTACCGCCTGCTCCAACTCGCCAACGACGTCACCTACAACAGGCTGAAAAAGTAAGGGCCACGAGGTTGCACTTCACCTGCGGTCACTCTGCTCAGAAATCAGCAAAAGCCAGTTGAAAACTGCCAGGTTTATTCTGGAAGAGCTCTTTCAAGGCAGATCTGAGTTTACTTCACTAGGCTGGGTTCCTCTCCTTTCCTGCCTTACTCCTAGAGCAGCTCCACTTGGGAGGTGTCCAGCTTTTAGAAGTGCCTTTTCCTGCTAACTGAGGGAACCCGGAGATAACTCAGTGGGATATGTTGTGCTACAGCATCACAACAGCCTGGATTTCTCTACCTGCTGGCTGTATGGTTCCACTCTTCCCTCTCCCTCCCCTCATCCCACACTCAGCCACATATTTTGGTCCTGTGTTGTATCGCCTCAGGTCCTCTGAATTCTGTAGAGCCTTTTCCATCCTGGTAGGAGGAGTGAATAGCTCTTTGCTGAATTCATGTGCTGAAAAGGCTCAGCACAGGGTCTGGCTCTATCAGACTGGAGTAACAGTAGGAAGTGGAAGCCTGAGCAGCGTAAGGGGTGTGTGCGTGAGGGTTGGGAGATGCAGCAATGATGATTAGTCTGTTGTGGAATCACATTTGCAGCTTCAGAAGAGTTGAATCAGTGCCCGCAGTCTTCTGTCACAGGGCCCTAAGGTGCGCAGGGATCTCTGAAGGAATTCCTGCTGTGCATCTATTTTCTTCTTCATGGCTATTTTCTTCTTCAACAGAGCTCTAAATTCACTGAAGCAGTATCACGGTGGTCCAGCCTCTGACCTGATCGACGTCCTCTTCTTTTCTTCTGATCCAAGTGCATTCAGTGAAACAAGTAAGGATGCTTCTTTGTAAGATTTTATACCAGACTGGTGGCTGGTGCTGGATTGATCTTTCTGGAGAAATTTTCTGCATCCTTAGGGTCAGAGCCCCTGGACCTCCACAGCCAAGCACATACACAAAGCCTGGCACTGGTTTTAGTCTGCCTTGGTGTGTGAAGCTGAGAGTTAGGCAGGTGGAGAGCAGATGGAGAGCTCTTTTGGGTGGAGAGGTGAGAGCAGCGATATTGCTGCTTTCATGGTGGTTTTAAGCAAAGATATGGAAAGTTATTGTGGGGAATGGGAGGGGGATATCTTCACTCTGAAGTTCCCTACCAACAGGACACGGGTTCTGCACTCCATCTCTGCCTGGAAAGGAGGATGCTTACCTCCTCAGATGTTAACAGCCGATAGACAAAGAGCCAGAGCCCTAAGTGATGCCTGTGCCAGTGTTTCCCACACTCTGCTGCCGCACTCTCCTTCCAGTTCTCCCAGTCCTGTCTCGGGGGCTGACCAGCTGGGAAGGGCACTTGTGGTCTCTCAGGTCAAGACCCCTTTTTTTAAATTGCTCATGGGAACACAAATAACTCTGTGAAGTTTTTATCCATACCAAACGTGCAGCTTACTTTGCTCCAGGAAAGACCTTAGTATTGAATGCACGTAATAGGTGGTGTTGCAGCTGGCAACATCAAACACTGAACTTCCATACTGGTCTTTGGGTCATTGGACACACTTTGCTCATGTAAAGACCCTTGTCATCACTGCAGGAGACTGTTCAGCCAGCTAATGGTCACTTCTCTCAGTGTGTTCCAAGTAAAGCTGAATTCTGGCATAAACCAGGCAGGATTTGTGATGGGGGAATTTGTTTGCACACATTCATGAGTCTGAAATTCAATTTAGTTTATGAGGCATTTCTTATTTGCTTCGTGCCCCAATCCCATCCATAAACTTCAAAGATCACAAGCTGCCAGCGCTGCTTCTATATTGAAAATCCAATAACTTGGACTTCATGGGAATTAAGCGACTGTGGAACTACTGCAGTTTGAAGCAGCATGGGAACACTGTATTTTTATTTTTACAGCCTTCTGAATGTGTTCAGTCAAGTTGGAGATGCACAGGCTGCTTTGGTTTCATCAAATACTTAAAATCTCGCAACTTAGTTTTACCAACAGCTGTCAAAAAAAATTGCATAGAAGTAGAATCCCCTTTTACTCAGATCTTCTTTGATGTGAGTCTTTTGAAAAACGAAAGTTGAAATTACACAGCTTGCCCTTTCAGAGAAACCATGGGGAAACCAAAGCCTCTGATCAGCAGAACAGCCGAGCGCTCAGCAACTGCTAATGAGTGTTATCCCTCGACAGAAGCAAAATATAGTCTGGGCTGCAGAACTCGGGGGAGGCAGGCGGGGGGAGGCTTAGGCTGCCTAGCAGGATGGGGCTGGCAGCCTCTACCCAAGCCATGTCACACGCTCTGCTCTCTCCTCTTGCCGCTGGGCAGTGTGCCGCCATCCAGCCCTGCCTGCCTCCTTGCTGGCCGGGCTTCTGCTCGCTCTCCTCGCCACCACAGCTCCTGGTGCTCTGTCCTCACTGCTGCAGCTCTGCTGAGGCTGTGGGTGCCGTGTCTGGCTGTCTGCAGCGCTCACCTCTCACACACACCACTGTTCCCTGCGGCACACCTTTGGGCTGGGCTGTGGGACAATATACCAGGGACGAAGAATAATGTTAGTGTGAGTCATATCTCTGTAGTTCTAAGCTCTGAGCTTAGTCTGAGTCAAACCTCTTAGCCTCCTGGCTACCTAGGACCTTGGTGCACTCAGGTTTTTAATATTAGATAAAAGAATTAAATTTTAATGAACCAACTTTCTTAGCAGCTCCAACTCTGCTTTTTCCCTTGTGGTAGCAGAACTGCCTCTCTAATGGAGAAAAAATTCCTTTTCACCAAATTGCTCAAATGTGCCAAACTAAGCACAGAGATGAATCCTCAACACTGAGAATATTGATTGATAGAAACGTTCAGCCCCGTTCAAACAGAGGAGCTGCAATCTGAGGAGGCAGCGTATCACCTGAGAACAGCAAAATGCTCTGGCAGGGCGGAAGGACCTTCCATTTACCTTCTCCCTCTATAGCTCCTTTCTCCCCTACTAGGAAGATGTTACACTAGCCAGGAATTAAATAATAATGACTGTAACTTTAAATAGGACCAGCAAGGTGCCATGAAGTGCCAGCCTCCCCCGAGTTGAAGGGGAGGGCACTCAGCAGCTGGCTGGCTGAATCCTGTCTCTCTCAGGATGGCAGGTGCAGTTCCCCGGGTGTCCCAAACACTGCAGGACACCAGGATGTGTCCCTGCAAATGATAGAGAAACTCACAGAAGTGTGAGGTGTCTGTGAACGGCAGTGAGAGTTTCCCAGGGGCATGCTCTGACGTGGAAGGATAGAAAAACCTCACAGCATTTTAGGCTGCTTCTCCTTCATGACACAGTATCTCCTTTCATGACCACGCATCTTTTAGCATGGTTTCTTGGGGCAATGCTTCCCTGTATCTGTCTCATACCACCCATTATCTGATTTGAAACGAACCTGTCAGGAGTCTCAGACTTAATAAGTTCTGTACATCTCCAAGCTGCCTGTCTAGACACACATCTGTGTTAACGCTATTCCAGGAGGCAATATAAGTTCCACTTTGATCAGAAGCCCAGAAAGCTGGGGTAGGAGGGAGACCACATAAACACCTGCCCACAGGAAAAGCCTCTGTGCAGGGGAAGAGGAAGGCCTGGAGTAAATGAGATTCCTACCTAGAGGCGAAATGTGTCACTCTTCTGTACAAATGGTGAGGAAGAACCAAAGTATGGGGAGTTGGAGAAGTAGAAGGGTCAGTGGAAATCATAAGTGCCCAGCTCTATGCCTGGATCTTCAAGGGTGTTCTCCCAAGGGCAGAATAGGCTTCAGAAAACAATATATGCCGCAGAAGAATCCTAAATCTAATTTCTTAGGTGTGGGGAAAAAAATCAGAAGCCTCATTTTGTAAGTGTGGGAGCTTTTAGGTGGGTTCTGATACCATTGTGCATTTTCATAAAGGACTTGATATCAAATCAGTTAGAACCTGGTCTGCAAGTGCAGGTGCTATGGGGCTGAGAACTGGAAGGGCAACAGCTGGAGAGCAAGTGTGTGCAAGGTGTGTGGCCTGCAGAGCACTGTGGGTAGGTACCCCGGCTACAGTGCAGAGTCGACAGGCAGAACACTCACTGGTACCGGGGAGTGCAAGATGCAGTGGCTCCTTCCAGCAGCAACACTCATGGAGTCTCAGTGCCATCCTCTGCTCTGCTGGGGGCTGTTTGCCAGCGTGGAGCCTTGTAACCTGGAGGGAAAAGGGGAAAGCAGCTGCGGTTTTTATTTTTATTTTCCAAAGGGCTGGTTATCCAGGGTCTCTTTAGGGCATATGCAGAGAATGTTACATTAGCCTTGTGGCCTGTCTGGTAAACAGCTTTTAGTTGCTTATTTTTTGCTGTGCTGTGCTGTGATCTCCTCAGGACTGGATCACAGCTCTGACTGGGTCACAGCAGGCTGCCACACACTGCGCCTGGAGGATCTGTGAATACAGATCCCGGGAGGGTGCCTGAATCCAGTCACCAACCCTTTAGGTTGCCAAGGAGTCTGATAAAAGCAATGGAAACACGGGTCTGAAGTAGTCAGCAGCTGCTGGCGTCTGCCCAGTGTGTGATACTGGCTGCTCAAGAACCACCAGTACATCCAGAAAGGAAATAGTGACAAAAGCAGTGCACTTTCACCCAGTGCCTGATGGCCAGCGAGCTGCTGTGCTGTGCTGATTTGGATACAGCTTTTCCCACAGTGTAAGGAAAATCCTGGTTTGGGGATGAATCCCTCCCCGTAGCAACGGGCACAGGCATGACTGCCACTGGAACAGTGTCCCGGAGCACGGTTTGGGGAGTGGGCTTGTTTAAGGTGGTTGTCTGTAATTGGGAAAAAAAACGCCAGGTTTTTCACCCTGAGAAGCCTGAAACAAGTTTGTACCAACCTTCTCATCCCATGGTCTTCACAGGAAATCTCACAGCTAGTGGGTTCTCACAGCACTGCTGGGGTTGCCCCCCTGGGGTCTAGCCAGGATGTTTGGGCTCAGGGTTGAGCAGGGCCAGGCCTGGTAAATGTTTTGGGGTCTGAGCCATGAGGGACAGCCGGGGCATTGAGGTTTGAGTCAGAAAGCCAGTGGCTCCCCATCGGATGGGTGGTGGCTGGGCTCTGCAGGGGCAGTCCCTCCTACACAAAGGGCATGACTGGAACTCTGCTGGGGATGACAGCAAGCGTCAGTGCACTCTCACATACACCCCTTGTATGGCCAGCAGCATTGTATTCGCTAGGGTTGTGCACTGACTCTGGGCTTTTCACCTCCCCCTGAGATGCTGGGACTGTGTGCAGGTTTGAGGCATTACCTGTAGCACTGCACATCAAAGCCCAAGTTCTTCCAAAACACTTAAAAATGCAACTCAGAATAAATATCTCCTTGGCATAACACAAAACACTAGACAGGCTGTGGGGAGAATAACCTATGGAGTGGTTGAAAGAAGCACGTGAAGGTATCGCCATTGGGTCAGTCGGCTCTACAGCTAAGGATGGGACTGGTCCCCACCACAAAGCATTGCCACCCCTTACCTTGCTGCCTCCAGAAAGTGGGAGAACAAATTTCTAAAGGCAAACTCTGATCTGAACAGATTTCTGCTCTTGTTGGACTCTCCGGCAAACAAAATCCAGAAGCCCGCACATGAGAAAAGCTGTGCTTGGCTCTTCCACTTTAACCTGCTCTCGTGGCCCACAAGCACTTCGAGGTTCCACACCAGAAATCTCCTTGGAGGCATCCTGTCCTGCTCGCTGACAGAGGGGTTCGGGGAGGGGGGGGCGTGTGGCGGCTCTGCTTGCCAGCAGAGGCCAGCATTGCTCGCTGGGTGCACACATTCCCTTTTCTTCCAGAAATAATGTTACACCTTATTGTGGGCAGAGCACTGTGCAGATCACTAACAGCTGCCAGCTCCCCCCTGTAGTCCTGGTGCAGAAAAAGCGAGGGGGTGGTCACCTCTGTGCCCCAGACACCACCTGGCTTGCATGGCCACGAGGAGAGCAGAAGGCATGGCTTGTATCTAATTCTACCTGGTGCTGAGAAAAGGCATTGGAAAAGAGGAAGGAAGAAAAAAGCCTAGTTACAAGTCAGGGCTGTCCTCGGTGAAATTCAACCCCGCAGGCAGAGCGGTGGGGAAGCACCAGGGATTTCTAGCAAAACTGCAGCAGCTCTCGACACAAATCCAGCACACAGGACAAGTTACTTGCAGAAAACTTAAATGTTCCATGTCCCTCCATGGTGTGATACCTCCTGTTGTCACAGGGTCTACGGGGAGGCCCTCGAGATCTGTGGTGAAAACTAAGTAGTCTGGACAACTCAGGTGCCAAATACTTCATAGGGAGAGCAGGGCAAGTTCCTTGTCTCAGGCTCAATTACCCAGCGGGATTTTGTCCTGCAGTGCTCAGCTGCAGGTAGGTTGTAGGTGGAGGAGCTGGTGGTGGGGTCCCACTTGCTTTGATGCCCGCACACACTAGTGGTGAGGAATCTACTTTGGAAGGTACATTGAAAAGCGAGAGGCCTCCAGCTCCAGAGAATTCGAGCTGTTCCCAGGAAGGGCCTGTTCCCATCCATGTTTGGGGCAAAGGCCCCTCTCCTGGACTTAAGTATCACCCTCCAACCCACTTCTCCACCTGAACCTCTGGTATTGTGCAGAAAAGTATGTCGGCTCCTGGAAATGTTGGAGGACAGCCTTGATGGCCAAGGTGATATTTTTTCCTGAGTGCTACACTCTCAAATCAAGTTTTGCATCAGGGGCTGAATTACCTGACCACCAGTGAGGGGCATCCCAGTGAGGCCCAAGGACGCAGATTCGCATCTGTCCTCGCCGTGGTCTCTGTTGGGGTCTGAGCTGGGCAGCCTGGGGCAGAGCAAGAGCAGCAGTGCTGAGGTGATGCCGCAGGGCTAGAGCTGGGTTCACACGAGTCTTCTGGGAGCATCTGCACAAATCCTAAACTGATGGCTTGCAAAGAGCTCTGAGCCAGCCCTGCAGGAGCAGATAAACTACATTTCTCCAGGTGAGCCCACTGGGGGCTGGACAGAGTTTAGCAGAGCCATAGCATCCCCGAGAAGGCTCTGCCCTCCTCCTCACCACTGATGTGCCCAGCCCAGAGCAGAGGCACATTTCCCAGCCTGCCCACACAGCAACTTTTGGCAGCGTGTGATTAAAAGGGAAGAGGGGGTGCATGCATGTGGAGAAGCCTGTTTCTGATCTCATTCCTTGAGCAAGGAAATATCAATGACTCCTACATCCCAGCTGTTACTTGTTGTGGGAAATGCCTTTCAGTTTTTAAGCTAGTCTTTCTTTTTCCCTAGCCCAGGGATGCTTCCTAGTCTTCTCTTAGTCATTAGCACACTAACTCAAAAATTACATATAAAGCAAGAGGCAGGTTAGCAGAAAAAGTACCATTAGTCCTGTTTCTCTCTTCCTCACTGAGCATCTGTCTAACAAATGTTGTTTATTTAACCCAGATACCTCATTTAGTTGTGCTGGTTCAAAACTCGGTGTCAGAGGTTACACAGGCATTGCACACAACCTGCCTAAAACCAGAAGAAACTTTCCTGCTTTTAGTCAAACCCTTAATGCAAAGATAGTGATAAAACACATGATGCCCAGCAGGGAACGATGCCCAGAGATTTGTCTTATATAAGCTTTTGTGGGAATATTATTTTCGGTAAACCTCAGTGTAATGAGTCATCATCTGCTGTAATTAACTTCCATAATGAACAAGGAGATTAGCAGCAGGATTATGGGGGATGAGAATAAATACAGGTTTGAATTAGATAAATCTGGGAGGTAAAAAGCAGCTTGTGAGGATTCGGTCTTCTGCAGTGAATTCAATTCTCTTGTAATGCAATTTGCGTATCCTTTTCCCTTTTTTCCCTTTCCAATCGTTGCAGCTCAAACTAATTTTAGTCTGCTTCACTGATATTGCTGGTTTGTATCTTTTTCCTGCCTTCTTTTTCAGTCATTGTGAACAATACAGCACTGCTCTTTTCTGCTCACAGACACTGTAGTTTCTGCTGCTTTTTCACTAGTACTTTTGGGTTTTTAACTGGGAGTGATTCGCTTGCAAGTTCAACTACTTCCTCCCCTCTTTTTATTGAAAGTTTATTAAATATCTGGCTCACCTTTAAAACAAACCCAGAGCACCCTCCAGACCCAGAAGATCCTGAGCTTGAAGTTATGGCTAGTAAATGGCTCTTCAAATGCTGAAGTGTCAGCACAGACTGGCTATGTTCACAACTGAATGCTTGCTCCTGTAAAATAGCCGGGTAGGAGAGAGAAGGGGAAGACTTGGATGCAGGGTGGGTAGCGTGTTTGTTCTGAAGGTATAACAAGCCTCACTTTCAACAGTCTGTGCTGTTTTAGCCACCTAGGTGGTACAGCATACCTGCCTCCCCAGAAATGCTATTTGCATTATCAGATTGATTTGGACCAGCTACTGAGAGCTTCTTACTTGTAGTCACGGATTTGTGCTTCTCAGCAAGCGCCCGTGTCAGGGCTGCTGGCCAAGTGAATCTCCTGCTGTCTCCCCAGAGCCCCTGAAGCTTTACAACGACACGCTGGATGCATCACAGAGGGAGGCCGTCTCCTTCTCCCTGGCACAGAGGGAGCTTGCCATCATCCACGGGCCTCCTGGCACAGGGAAGACCACAACCCTAGTAGAGATCATCCTGCAAGCTATACAGCAAGGCCTGAAAGTGAGTATCAGTGGCAGGACTGTGGTAACAGTGATCCCCTCAGTTTATTTTGCAAACTCACAGGGCTGCATGGCAACTGGAGCAGAGCCAGTGACAGCAGCGCTACACTGCAGAGTCTGGCTCAGCTTGCCAGGTCTGGGGAGTTTCCCCCATCAGCTAAAAAGAGGCACAAATAGAAGCTTCAGAGCTCAGGTTTGCTGTTTATTGAAGACTCTGCACTAGTGCTTCAAACCAAGGTGAGAATTGCCTTTAGTGCCTGGTGGCTTATTCCCAGTCAATACATAGAATCACAGAATCATCTAGGTTGGAAAGGACCCTGGAGATCATCTAGTCCCAACTGTTCGCCTAGCACAGTTCCCACCTACAGCATATCCTTAAGCTCCAAATCGACCCTACTCTGGAACACCTCCAGGGATGGGGACTCCACTCCCTGGGCAGCCCATTCCAACGCCTAACAACCCCTTCTGGAAAGAAATGCTTCCTAATATCTAGTGTGAACCTTCCCTGGCGCAACTTGAGGCCATTCCCTCTTGTTCTGTTGCTTTCTACTAGGCTAAAGAGGCTCATCCCCAGCTCTCTGCAGCTTCCTTTCAGGTAGCTGTAGAGGGTGATGAGGTCTCCCCTCAGCCTCCTCTTCTCCAGACTAAACAATCCCAGTTCCCTCAGCCGCTCCTCACAGGACATGTGTTCCAGACCCTGCACCAGCTCTGTAGCCCTTCTCTGGACACGTTCGAGTAACTCTATGTCCTTTTTGTAGTGAGGGGCCCAAAGCTGAACGCAGTAATCAAGGTGCAGCCTCACCAGCACCAAGTACAGGGTCAAGATCACTTCCCTGTCCCTGCTGGCCACACTAATCCTAATACAAGCCAGGATGCCATTGGCCTTCTTGGCCACCTGAGCACACTGCTGGCTCATATTCAGCCGGCTGTCAATCAGTACCCCCAGGTCCCTCTCTGACTGGCTGGTCTCCCTCTCCGCTGAGCATCTTCCTGCAGGGAGGCTGTTGCTCCAGGGTCCTGCTGTCCTTAGCAGTGACAGACATGTGTTTTTCCCCGGCAGGTCCTGTGCTGTGCCCCTTCCAACGTCGCTGTGGATAACCTGGTGGAAAGGCTGGCTGGCCACAAGGCCCGCGTCCTGCGGTTGGGCCACCCTGCTCGCCTGCTGCAGCCCATCCAGCACCACTCCCTGGACGCCGTCTTAGCCCGTGGTGACAGCGCTGAGATAGTGGCAGATATCAGGAAGGACATCGACCAGGCCTTGGTGTGTGTCCCTGCGCCGTGCCCCGCGTAGGCTACCCAAAGGCCAGCGCTCTAGACTAGCACTAACCCCAACCCACTAGCCAGGCAAGCTACTTTAAACTAGAGAACAACTCTGCCACTTCTTGGATGTCCTTAGAATATAATCACTACAGCCAGGTGCTCTGGGTTGTCCCAAAATCAGTGGCTAGAGGCAAGTCACTGTGGCTAGTCCTGATGTGAGCCATAGCCAGCCCACACCCTGTCTGAACCTGGTATTTGTGGGTTTGGGGCACCAGGAGCCCCCAGCAATGTTCCCAGTCTGGATCTTACTGGGTACAGGCAGGGGTGGAATACTGGTGGGCTTGAGCCCCTCTCTGTGGTCAGTCAACAGCAGAAAGGCCACTTCAGGGGAGAGGAAAGAGGAAATAGAATAGTGCAGGGGACTAACAGTGACAGTTGGAGATGCATGGCCTGGGTTAATCCCATTTACTCCGCTTAGGAGGCGTTTAACCCAGCCTGGGAGGAAAGGAACTGGGGTGCAAGCCTGGCAGTTTTAGCCCTGGATGAAGCTTCCAGGTGAGGAGGTATCTCAGAGGGCCCCTCTCCAGGGGCTGCCTGAGCCTCCTCGGTGGCCTGCCGCTGGTGCTCATTGTCTGCTGCCAGAGCCGCGGGCAGAACTCCCAGCTCAATTCCTCCCTGAAGTGGCAAAATCAGTCATTACTGCTGCGTGGGGAGATGCTGCAGTGCCCTGCTCTCCAGATTATCTGTCTGGCATTGTTCATGCCATCCTCTTCACCAGAGAGCGAGAGAAACATTCACATCATTAATTCACTTCCTAACGAGATGTCTGGCTGTCCTGACACTCCCTCCCACTCTCAACCACCTCAAGTAGAAAGCAGCGTACACTATAAAAATGCATCCTTAATTTCTTCTTCCACAACCTAATTTTCCTCAACTTAATTTACAAAGTAGCTCTTTTACTTGAGATAATGGGTTTTGATACTAATTAGACTTTTTCCCCCCTCCCCCTTCTGGCGGCAGCATTGTCCAGAAGCCATTTTGCAGATGTGCCCAGCTGGAGAGATCCTGTCTCAGCGGTGCAGGAGGGCACCTTCATACCCTGCACATGTCTGCTGCTGTAGTTGCCCGGGTATCACTGCCCTGCCCTTCAGCACAGCACCACACATTCCCTTTTTTAACACGATGCAGACCCAGCCGTGGCTTTGAGCTCTGTGAAGCTGCAGCCACCACTATGGCAGCAGCTTCAGCTCTGACAGATGCAGTTCAGCATCATCCAGCCTTTCTGTGGCTGAGCAGGTGGGGGAGTCACCTGCCAGACAAGTTCTTGCACGTAACATAAGGGAAGGAGAGGGTGTCTGAGTTGGAGCTGTACTTGTGCCTGAGAGGCGAGTTCACAAGGGATGTGCTTATCTGCGGCACTGGAGACCTGCGTAGAGTCACAGCCCTACACTGAGTCTGGTTTACTTCATTTATTTTGCATCTCTCTCACTAGTCATTAATTTTCCCTTTCCTCTCCTTGGGAGCCACTTTGAAAGGTGGGAGGAGGGTTTTTTTCCCCTGCTGATTTTCTGTAGTAGAAGGAAAATTAGGGAGAAAGCTGAGCCTTTAGCACTAAGGTCTGTGCGTGCTTCCTCCCTAGGGCAAGGGGTGCATGGTGGTGGGAGGCAGGGACTGGCCACCAATGCTTGCTCTGCCCTGAAATACCAAATAAAAAGCCAAGAGCTAACACACTGCTGCAGTTTAGCTCACATAGCAGTACTCTGAGCTGCCCACGATTGGGTCTTTCACAGAAGATGCCCCTGACTCATGAGCCTTCCTTCTGGGCTGCAGAGAGTTCACCACTGAGGTCCTGGCCCACCTTCCTTCATCCTGCCTCAGTTTCTTCCCTTCAATGTCCCCTACTTGCCCTCTAATAATTTTTTCCTTTGTCCACTCCACGTTTTGACTCTTTCCCCAACCACCAAAGAACTAGTAACATCAATGAAAACCCAGGCTCTCTTTACACATTTTCTACCCCTTTGTGCCTCCTCCCCTCCCCCATTCAGCCTTCAAGCTTTGAAGGACATCAGCACGCAGATATTCTTTGCACCAACAAGTGTGCAGGCCCACAGTACCTGAGCAGGAGCAGCAGCACAGGTCCAGTGATGCTGAGCAGGTCTAGAGGGAGGAGGCAGGTCTGCAGCCCACTCAGAAGAAAGCCAGGCTCAGAGCACAAACCTAGCTCAGGCAAGGCCCAAGGTCTGGCCTTAAATGCAGCTCCCAGCCCAATGAGTGTGTGGGTGGGGGCCCTGGCGAGGCCAGTGAGGACAATTAGAGCCTTCTGGCGCCCACAGAGCTTCTAATGAGGAGGCAGTGGGGTCCAGGCACTGTCCTGTGGGCCAGGCTCCCTGCTCTCACACTGCTGTCAGCAGAGAGTCAGTCCGAGGTCACCAGCCAACAGCAGAGAACAGCTGCTGTTGTTAATTTATTAACTAGGTCTTTTTTTGCAGGACAGAATTAAACTTGACCCTACTGGCACCATCAGTTTTGCTCTCTAATCTTCCTCTGGTTCTGTCCCTGGGTTTGCACTGTAGTTCATCTTTTGCACAGGCAGAAATGCTCTTTGTGCTTCCAGCAGCGCTGACTGTGGTGGGGGCTTTTTGGCAGAGAGAGAGAACAGAAGCTGAGGTTTCATGGGGCTGGTGATGATGAGGACACAGAGAAGCCATGCTGTATCCATACCTGAGAAGCTGAATGTATCCCTAGGTCTAGAAATAGTTTATTCTATCTTGATTTTTCTATTTATAGGCGAAAACCAAAAAGGCTCAAGACAAGGGAGAGCGGAGCCATTTTCTCAGTGAGATTAAGGTGCTGAGAAAGGAGCTGAAGGAACGTGAAGAAGCTGCCATGGCTGCAGCCCTTAGCCATGCCAGTGTTGTCCTTGCTACGAATACAGGTGCGAGAGCCACTTACTTTTGCAGTATTTTGCCTCACTTGCCAGGACTCATGTGAACCGTATGCTCTGCAATGCAGCATCCTGCCAGGATAGGAGGGAGGCTTGGTCTTCCTGCTCCAAGCTCCTGGCAGTTCATTCAAGTTTGCTGCAAGCTCTCAAGGTCGTCCACTGTGGGATTCTCCCTGCTCATACGCTGACATGTGACATTGTTTGGCAAAGAATATGGGTCTAGAAGGGGCTTTGGTGTGAGCCAGCATGGCCCCTCCTTGTTAGTTCTGAGTAGGGGCTGAGCTTTCAGGGAGTAAACAAGTGCTACTGGAGGTGTGCAATCTACTTATTGATTTTTGCAAGTCACATGGAATTGCTTTCCCGCGTGGATAATTTCTGTGACTGATCGAATATAGCACACGTTCCCATAGCCTGCTCTGAGCCTGCACATATTTGGGTAGTTCTGTAAGTCACCCAAGTGCTGTAAATGTCGTGGAATTTAGGGAACAGCCCCAGGTATGCATCAGCAGCGCAGGTGGGCACGTCTGCAAGTGGGGAGGTATCCCCCTGCCATCAAAGGGGAACAGAAATGCTTAAAGTTTAACATGTACTGAAGTGTTCTTCTAGATCAGATGTATAACACTCCAGGACCCACTTCTAATCTTCAGATTTGGTTGCTCAGGGATTATTTGCTGAAGGGAAACATCAATAAATTTAAATTATTAAAAAGAACCTCATGGGGCACAAGTTACTAGTGTGAAGGGTAAAGGAAAGCTGAATCCTTCCAGTACATTATTTGCTGGGAACTGGCCTCCCACTTTTTAACTTTGCCTGAAAAAACAGGGAGAGGTTTCCTTTTTTCAGTGAAACTGGTATTTTGTGCTGAGCATTGTGTTGATCAGATAGGATTTTCTCCTGGGACTCTGGGCCTTTGCTAGCCAGTGTGGAGGGCTGTGGGGTTCTGCTTCCGCAAAAGGCAGTAGCCAAACAAGGGGTTTGGATCTTGTGTTTTCCTCAGTTAAGCAACCTTGGTATTTGTCTGGAACCACATAGTTTGATAGGAATTACTGTTTATGCGAGCTGAAGTGCTCTGTTGCTAGGTTCAGCAGAGAGAGAATTTAATCATGGCAACGCACAGGGACACCCGTGACCTTTAGTTAATGGGAGTTCGATAAACTCAAGTTGAGCTGCAAAGGAAGAAAACCATCCACACAGCTGCATGCCACATTGGTAGTCTTTTTTAGATAGAGATAACCTTTCTACTTCTTTCTTTTCCTTCCACCTGCAGCCTGGTAAAACTGCAAAAGTCACGTTCAAACTATGTTGTTATCCCTTGTTACCAGAGTGGTTTCATACAGGCTGGAAAAAAAAATTTTGAAAGGAAAACAGTGTCTCAGTTGACAAACTGTAACACCTGAACTGGTGCAAAGCTGTAGAGGCAGCAGGATTTACAGTGGCAAAGCAAAATCACCCCTAATCAGAGCTGCTTTCAGAGCTACACTGCAAGAGCACAGGGGTTTGAAAAAACAATAAATTGAGAATAAAAGTCGCCTTGTCTGTCATGCTGACTTCTTAATCCTCCTCCCTTCCTTTTGCATCCCTTTTTCTTTTGAATTGCAGTGATATTTCTGATCACTCTGAGATTCCCTGTTCTGATCAATATCAGTTCATGCCCGGATTACAGCAGGACGTGTGCCAGGGTTATTTGACACTACAAATGGATGCCTGATGTAAAAAGCCCACTCTGACCATGGTTGTCTGCTTACAGTCTCCTGTGCTGTCACAAGGAAGGACAGAGAAGCACGGTCTGGGGCTCAGCTGGTCTGTCCCTCTCAGGGTGTCCCTTGGTGTATTGGGCAGGATGAACCTCAGGTCTGCCATCCTTTCAGTCTGGGTTGGTGGGAAGTCTGGTTTGTATCTGAGGGCAGAAGGAAGTGGGTGTTCATTAGTGCTCCTGCTCTGCTCCTGCTCTGAATGAAGTGTTTGAGCATGTTGTTCTGTTTGTCATCTGGGTTTCTCTCTTGTTTTCAAAGAGACTTGGAAGCTTTTGGGCCCAGATGCCAGGGCAGAAAAGGACAAACAGAAGTTGGCAAAAACAATTCTGACATATACGTATAAATGTATATGTGTTTGGCATGGGCTACAGAGCTGGATTTCTAAATCTCTGCAAAGAAACATCATTTTACCCACCTTCCTCAGTCACAAGAAAAGCACGTGTGGTCTGGTTCAGAGCCAGGCTGCTTGCTCTCCTGTGCCTCCTTGCTAAGCTGTGCACCTTCTCCTTTAATTAGGTGCTTCCTCTGAGGGCCCACTGAAGCTGCTTCCTGAAAATCACTTTGATCTGGTGGTGATAGACGAGTGTGCACAGGCCCTGGAAGCCAGTTGCTGGATCCCTCTGCTGAAGGCTCCAAAGTGCATCCTGGCCGGGGATCACAAACAGCTTCCCCCCACCATCATCTCTCACACGTAAGGAGCGGTTTGTTGTCCCGGGTCCTCCTGTTGTTTATGCAGCCAAATGCCTCTGAATACCTCAAGTTAGTCAAGACATTTCATTAATGTGGATTATCAGTGTCCCCCATGAGCCGGGTTTGCTTTCACTGCCAGAATTACCTCAGGCCTGTTTTACTGATGGCCACTGCTCAAAGTCTGACACAGCTCCATCTGAGCGGGCTCACAGCATAGGGCAGTTGGTTGTTTTACCTGCAGCCAGCCGAGCCATGTAACAGCACAGTGTGTGCAGTCAGTGCAGCACCGGGGAGTCACTGTTAGTGCTGGTGAGGGCCCGCTGGCAACAGCGCTGGGGCTGGCAGGGGTTTGAGTTTGCAGACAGGGAGAGCAGCACAAATCCAACAGGCAGCCTTCAGCCCTGCCCTGGAGTTGCTGGGATTCTCAGAGGGGTGTGCCCCTTGCCTGCAAGGTTCTCATCCCTGCTGGAGTCTGTGCACAGGATTGATTTTGTAGGAAACACCTTACATGCATTACCTCGGTAGGGCTGCTAAAGCAAACCTCAAACAGGGTGATTCTGTACCCAGTCCTGGCCATTGGCAGTGGGGATACTTGCTCAGTCAGGGGCAGGTCGCTGCCTGCTTTGAAATACCCGCTCAGCTCCTTTTGCAGAGGTCCTTGAAGATGCATCAGGGCCATAGTCTAGCAGCTGGAGTCCCAGCCTTCCCCAAGATTGCCTTCACCCTTGTCCCACACTTCCTGAGGGGTTGGGTGCCCACCCCAGAGAGGATCCTCTGCAGAAAAAGCAGAGCAGACAGGGAGGGTGAGTGCAGGGAGGCCAGAAGAGCAAGCAGAAAGTCACTCTGGAGAGTTTCAGGGAAATCTGTGACACTGGGAATGTCCAAAGCAGCTCTGCAGCCTCACAGAAACAGCTCTGCTCAAAACACCTCTGGAGCAGCCCAGGGACCTTCGACTGCCATGGCCTCCGCACGAGGGGTGGGTGCTGCTGAGCTGTAGGGCAGAGAAACAGCATGAAATCCGAGGGTGCTGGCCTGGCTGGTGCTGCCATGGGAGTGTGCTGGTCTGCATCCCTCCACCGGTCACCCGCAGCATGCCCCGCTCCAGAGAAATCAGTGCCTTGAGCTTGCATTGTGTGCTATGGTTTCTCTCTTTAGTGAGAAGAAATACTTGTACTATGCATTACTATCAGATTACCCAAAAACTGTGGATATTTTGACAGATGTTTTTCCTGAGAGACATGTCATCAGCAGAGATATCTTTTTGATTCCACGCATCTAGCAGTGCTGTGTTTGAATTCCCTCTTTTCTCTCTGTTATGCAAAGTAATTTTCAAAGTGTTAGAAAAATTGTTCAAAAAACAGTTTAAAACATATCAGCCATTCAGACTAGTAAAATGGTAAATAAACAGAAGGTGACCAAAACAGAGACACAAATTTTGTTTTCACTGACCAGTATTTGTATATAAACTGTGAAATGTTTAAGAAAGATGATCTCTTCTTCTGCATGCAGTTTTCTTGCCCCTGGCAAGAATGGTGGCCTGGTTTACCTCCTCTTTGCTGACTGCAGGCTCTGGAGAACGAATTCAGGCTCATACTCTGTTTAATCCAAGTCTTCTCTTCCCTTCATTAAATTCTGCTTCTCTGCTTCCACATTTATTTAATGTATTAATGTGGGAGTTGGCCCACCAAGATGCTGCATTATCACACACACCACAATGATTATAAAACCTCACAATAACTACAGCAAGTGTATTATGAACAATTAGTTTGTGAAAAGATCTGTAAATTGCCTGTGCTTCGAGGGGGATACTCCAGATAGTACTGGGAAGCCTTTGGGTAGTTTAAAATATAAACCGGCCCATGTTTATCCAGCTCTAGATCTGGAATTACTGAACTGTCATTGTGCAGAAGCACAGAAATAGGGCCGACTTCATAATCTTTCTCTCCTGCTTCCAGAAAACAATGAGCAAGATACCCATCTATAATCTCACTTGAATTTTGAACAAGGGAAATGAAAAATCCAAGGGAGGCAGCAGCTCCCAGCAGGTGGCTGAGAGATGGTGCAGATAACGTTAATGTGCTCTATCATTTTACCAGTATCAGATGGACAAATGCTTGTTGCTTTGCAGATCTCAGCAGGTGATATGCACACTCCTCCACTGCCTGGTGGAGGTATCTAGGCTGGTGAGCTGCAAAAAGCCTGTCCAGAACCCCCTACCCTTCTTGCCTCGCTGTTTATTTACTGTGACTAATCTGTCAGAATCTATAGCATTAACAGATTTATATCTCAGCCTGGCTTACTAGTAAATTATGATCTGAAAAGCTTGCTACATAAAACAAAATATATTGCTCAAGGCATCAGCAGGTCCGTGACCCAGGTGCTGGTCAGACACCAGTCACCGGAGCGCAGCCTGCCAGACAATTGCCTTTTGGAAGATAAAGTGCAAAAAGCCGAGCTGACTTCAGTTTGCTTGGAAGAGTTATGGGCTGTGCTCTCAAATGCTACTGCTCTCTGGGCAGGTCTCTGGTTTAGCCTGAAAGGCAAAACTGCTACAATGCTGCTTCTGTGCCAGCTGGTCTTCTCTCAGTTCCCCAAGTAACTCTTTGAAACCTATTAGCTAAGGTGAAACAAATCCACCGAAGTGTGAATGTCTGGGAGATCTTCAAGTCCGTAAAAATAGATAACAAAGCCGAGACCAGAGTTTGTTCCTGCACTAGGAGGAAAGGCATCAGATGAACTCAACCAGCCACAAGAGAAGCCACAAATGAGGGAACCGGAGAAACCCCAGCTTTCTGTATTTGTTACTGAAGTATGTTAGCACTGGAAAACTCCAGCTCATAATGAGGGGGGTTCCCTGTTACAATCTGAATAACCAGCATGAAGGGGGAAGGAGGTGTCCTCTCCTCGTTTCATCCTATGTCATGCCAGAAACCTGGGGTGGGTTCTAGGGCTGCACAAGAAGTCTTCAACCCCAGCCTGCCAGTCCATCTTTCCTGGCTCTCCCTGCACTTGTAAAGGCTGACATCTTGTTGAGTAAAATGATTCACAACTGGGTATTTTCAGGCTTTGCCCATTGCTCAGGTGGCTGACTGTTGGAGGACTGAGAATGCAGGAAACCAAGAGGAAAATAAAGCTTTTTGAGCTATTTATGGCTTTACCTTTCATCTCAGTGGGAGCCCTTGGTAGCAGCCCAACATATATTAATGGCAGAAGGGTCCCCTGTACATATTACTGTGCATGCAGAGGTGAGAGTGGGTGTCATCAGACAGGTGCCAATCCAGCTCCTCCCCTCTAGTCTGAGCCTCTGGCTGGGAGTAGCAAAGCCTCCCTCTCCTCTTTGCAGATTGCCCCTGACTTGGTGGAGCAGAGGGCTCTTGGACAGAGTGTTGGGAGTCTGCAGAGGGTTTAAATAGCACAATGCAGAGTAGTTGTCCTGTGGAAAATACCTGGGATGATGTGTGTTACCCTGGTAGGAAGCCAAACTGCTTAATGCAGAAGGAAAAGAGTTTCTTTCGCTTGTTGTCTGGTAAACCCCCCAGGCAGACTGGGATGGAGTGGATGCGCAGTGAGGGCTAGCTGGAGCAGCCGACAGCTTGGCTCAACAGCCTCCTAATTAAATGCAAAGCTACCAATTTCAGATCAATTAGAACAACTTCTTTTGAGACATCCAGTTACTTTTCAGATAAACACCTTTAAAAATTTTTAGCTCTTTTCCTTACAGATCTGAACTGTGGCCTTGTTAATTGCTGCCCAAGTAGAGCCTTTGCTGCCTCCAGCAAGGCACGTAACACAGCTTTCCTCTCTCCAGCACCGTCCCCCTGCACCATATAAATAAAACAGACGCTGGGGAGCACCACTTTGTGCTTTTCACAGTCCCTGCAGGCTACAAAATGCAACACAAAGTCAAGATTCCTTCTAACTCCATCTTGTTAGGTGTTTCCAGAGATCTAATTAAGGCACCGAATCACCTGCTGGCTCCTCTGTGGTTAATGGAAGGCAATAAGCTGTTTCCAGGGATGATTCATGCAGAGGACTCAAACCCTCCCACCTACCTTCGCCTTCTCCTCCATTGATGACAGCAGACCTGGAGTGGGTGGACTCCTATTTTCGGGGCCTCAGTGAAGGGTCTAAAGTTAGCTGGGATGAATTTGGGCTGACAGAAGGATTGTCTGCTACTACTGTATGTGAAGTCAGTCCTGTTTAACAGAGGTTTCCTGCTTAAACAGGAATACTTTGATACTTGGTAGGAGCCATCCTGCAAGTGCGATCAGACAACTCATCTTCCACACAGCTTGCGCTCAGCTCGGGGAGCCAGGCCCTGTCTGGCAGAACTACCTTTTGTTGCCTGCTTTTTTTTCTCTGTGGATTCAGCATTTATCAGTTATTATCATCTTTTCTACGTGAGGATAAGGGAGTGGTGGAGGGACTGAAGGGTGCTCTACTTCCTTGCTTTTTGACATACCTGAAGTTATCTCAGGATGCGGAGGGCACCCCCCCACACCCCTTTACAGTACCATCACCTACCTCTTGTCCATGCTGGATGTGTTTCTCCTGAAGGACCTCGCAGCAATGGCAAACTCCAGTGTCCTGCTGTTCCCCTCTTGGTGGCCCCCTCCAAAGCTCACAGACACCAGCTTCAAGCCTCCTGCCAAGTTTTGGCCCGGTCCCAGGGGGCATCTTGATGCCAAGACACTTTCTGCTGTCTGACAGGAACATTTGTTCTCCTTGTTTTCATTTTAGTCCTCATTCCATCCTTTTCTGACATCCTAATTAATTTGTCTCCACATCAGGGCTCTGATTTATTAATTTGTTTTTACACTCAGATATCTGCAGACACTTCTCAGACCTCTTGCTCTTAATCAGTTCCTTGGACAAGCAGGGAGTGTTTTGCCATCCCGCTGGTTGGCAGGCAGTCTGCACACCTGCACCATCACAAATCCATGCACTAGTCCTCCATGCTCAGTAGTCAGCTGATTTCCATGTCATGGATTTGCTTTAGCTTTACCACTGAAGAGCAAGGATCAGACATGGGTTTTCTCTGGTAGAAAAGGCCTTGGTTTTTTTTTTTTCTTTCCACAGCTGGAAGGAACAAGATACCCTCCTCCATCATATTTGCAAGGATTAAAGCCTGGTTTTGCCATTCAAGAGTTTAAGTCAGAGTTCTTGAGGTAGGGAAGCACAATTACACCCTTCTCCAGTCTTTGCTGTCTGAATTCGTTGGTGTACAGCAGAGATCAGTCACACCAACATCTCCTTCTGTCTCTCAGGGAGGAGATCAGCCATCCAGAGGATGAATAATAAAAGATATAACAGGACTGAGGGCACAGCTCCATCCCACTGTGGGAAACTCTTCCCTTCCATACACCCTAGTAAAGATTGTTCTTCACATCTGCATGGCAGTCTGACTCCTCACACCCAGCCCATAAAGGCTATTTCACACAAAGCTGGGCACAAAAACCTTTGAAATACTTGGTTCCAGTTGGCTGCAGCTGTCACCACTGATGTGCAGCGTTTCTTCCAAAGGCTGGAGGGGAAAGCGTTGCTTCTGCAGAGCAGCAGGACCTCATCCTCCCTCACTGGGATCTATCCTGGAACCCCACATGCCTGGGCAGGTGTATTCGAGCAAAGTACAACCTTCTCCTGCACATGAAGCAAGGCGAAATCAGGTTAACAGCAACTCTTGGCTGCTGTTGGCTTATTTCAGTGATTTTAGCCTTCCTAGTTTTACTTTAGGTACTTCAAAGTAGATGCTCCTGAGCGTAGATGCATGATTCTGTCTGTCCAGCCTCCTGTCCCAATTTAATTTCTCTAAAGCAATTGATACTTAAACCGTTGCTCAGCGCTCTTATGATTTTGTTGGCATAGAAATCAACCATTGTAGGAATGAATTGAGCCGTAAAATAATAGGAAATTTATTAACAGGTGAAAAATTCACAAGCAGTTTAATATCCTCATTATTAATTCAACATATAACCTCATGTAGATCCCTGCAGTGGAAGCTGCTGTTAGTGTAAAGAATAGCACTATTTCTAAGGCTTGCTGTGAGGCTTAATGCCTTCCCCTGCTTTGTAGTATATCACTACAAGAAACACTTCAGAATTCATATGATTCTGTGAATATTTGTGGCTAAAAACCACTAGGGTTTTCCTGCCACTTCTGTGTGAAAATCAGATTTAGGCTTGCTCTTAGATTTGCAAGAATTTGTGAGTCAAGAGAGGGGAGTAAAGGAGAAAAGCAAAGGGGACATACCTTTGTTTGGTAAGGCTGCTAAACCTGCTGTAGCTTTTTAAGTCATCTCATTGTGGTGTCCCTCACTTCTCACAGGGGTTACTGTATGGCATTTATGCAGTCAGTGTCTGGCAGCAGCAAAGGGCAGAGGCAACAACATCCTTGGGAACAGCCGCATGGGGTGTGAGCACAGTGGGCAGAGAGGTTCAGCAGCAGCTCCTGTGGGCTCTGAACCAGGGCTGGGGTCTGCCTGGAGGGTCCCATCAGCAGATGGGTGAGAAATAAAGCTGTGATGGGAGCCCAAGATCTATTTGGAAAATACTAAAGGCAGGATCAAGGTAACCTGCAATATAAATCTACAGTCCCTAGACCTCCCCAGCCAGAGCTAAGTCATAACTCAGGCAGGGACTGAGGGACTAGAGCTGAGCTTAAATGAGGCCCGTGGACAGGGGGTGGGACCCAGGTGAGGCTGGTCAGGGCAGTTAAAGGCTCCTGGGGCCCCCTTGGCCCTGGGAGTTGTTGTTGGGAGTTGGTTTAGGGTGTGATTGGCTTTGTTATTAACCTGGCAGGAGGAGGTGGCTGGTGAAAGGAACCAGAAGCATTTTTATCTCGGTGGCAGTGGTCACCCTACAGGCAGAGGCTCAGTGAGAGGTGTGCACTGAGTTCCCCTGTTGCCTGGCCACACAGGAAGAAGGGCTGTTCCAAAGGGAATGGCTGTTTCAGATGGGTGCTTGTGCCTGAGTGCAGACAGCTCTGTTAAAGCTGCTCCCTTCCCAGGGGATCAAGGCTACCTTCTGGCATGCCCCCGGGGGCAGAGCAGAGCGGGGAGGATTGGGCTGTCAGTGCCTTCTCATTCATTTGTGAGCCTGGAAGGAGAAAAGCTGATTTCTGATAACTGGAATGAGCTCCTCAGTCCCACATCCTGCTCTTTCCTCTCATGCCACCCAATCCTCTTCCCATCCCAAAAACCCTGTGCCCCTCTGACAGGCCCACCTGCCCCTTGCTTCTCTCCCTCACGCTCAGCTGGAGCGGCAGGAGCTCTCTCAGTGGGTCTGTGCTGCGCCAGTCGCAGCGCCGGGGCTGGGAAGATGTAAAGGCTTTAAGACCAACCTCAGCGCAGGTTGTGATCAGCAGCAAAATGTGCAGCACAGCTGGAGGGCTCTGCTGCACCAAGCACAATGTCCTCATGGCAAACCTGCCCCCCTCCTCCCGGCTGCTGTGCCTGCCTGTGGTGTCCAAGGCTCCTTAATGTCACAGCAGCCCTCCAAAAAGCAGCGCTGTCTCCCAAGTCCTGTGGTTGCAGTTCAGAGTTTATGGCCTGTTTTTTCCCCACGTGCTGCATTCTGTGATTTAGCAAGGAGGGCTAATGAGACTTGACTTCTCAGCAAGATCTACCCTTAGTTTTCTCTTCTGCAGTTTCAGTGAATTTCCCATTTCCTGCTGTATTTGCTGAGTGCCCCGTTGTTAGCGTGGTGGGGCTGGCCGGTGCAGCAGGCAGGACGCTGGCTGTGTAACACAGCGCTTCCCACAGCAGTAATGGGATGTGTGCTGTGCCCCTTCGCCTTGACAGAAATCATTCCTGAGCTGGTCTCTTACCATCGTTTCATCATTGTGTTCTGGTAGCAACCCCTCACCATGAACCACAGGATTGTAAAAGGTGCTGGACATGCAGCATGAAAAAACTCTTCATGCTCTGATACACTCAAAACACAAAATCCAAGTACAATGATTCTTATCCTTGTTCCTCAGACAGTACCGTTAGGTGATGCTTCTAACAAACCCTTTCTGTACAGCAGAGAGAAAGCAGTTAGGCTCCTGAAAGGCTTATTTCATTAGGAGCTTTATTAATTTGTGTCACACATATAAGCACAGGACCTTTGCCAGGAGCGATGGCATGTTGGTTTTCCTAATGGGTAATAAAGCAATAAGCACTGAAATGCCTTAGTGCATTAGTCTGGGGTGAGTGGCCACAGAGTGATGAGAATACTGGAGCAGCAAGTGTCTTGGTGAAGCATCAGCAAGATCTGTCTGTGTTGGCATTGAGCATGCCAGGACTGGGGGTCCAGCACCGATACTAATGCATTTGGTGATTGTGAGGCCATTGCTGAGCTGGCAGTAATGTCGGTGTGATGTTACACTGACAGATGCGGCGTTCACAGCTTGGGGTGAGCAGCGTGACGGGGGATGCTGATGGGATGAGTTTACAGGTGAAGAGGGCTTTGTTAGCAGAGCTCTTGGGCATCCTCCCTTGACTTATTCCAACCCCACTGAGCAGAGCTGGGACTGCTGCCAGGGGGGAGAGCCGATGCATGGCAGTGGCAGCACCCCCTTGGCATTTCTCCCGGCAAAGGGAAGCGGGCAGCTCACTGCCCGGGTGTGTTCAAGCTGATCCCATCTCCGGGCAGGGCAGGAGTCTGTCCCTGAGGGGCTTCACCCTGCTGGGGGGAGCCTACGCTGAAAGTTAACACTTGTGGCCCCGCAGCCTTCTCCCGCTCCCAGCGCCCACCTGTTGGGACCCCAGGGAGCAGAGTGGGAAGGCCAGGGATGTGAACCAGCCCAGCATGAGGGTGCTCAGTGGGGTCCAGAGCAGGAGCTGCAGGTGCTCTGGGGCGTTGCAACTTACCCCCCTTAGCACCGGCCAGCGCTGCGTTCAGCTATGGGGCTGCGTCCGCAGGGAGGTGCTGGCTGAGTCATTGGTCTGAGGAGGGTTGCGGCGGTGCCGTAGAGCACCACGTCAGAGCAGGCACCCAGACCCCACTCCTGGCTCTTCCCACGCAGGGCCGCTGCCAAGGGCCTCTCGCTCAGCCTGATGGAGCGTCTCACTGAGCGGTACGGCGAGAAGGTTGTGAGGATGCTGACAGTGCAGTACCGAATGCACCAGGCCATCATGCAGTGGGCTTCCATGGAGATGTACGGCGGCCGGCTCACTGCTCACCCTTCAGTCGCCCAGCATTTGCTCAAGTAAGTGACTCCCTCCTCACCACAATGTCAGCAGAGATTCTTTTTCATCCCACCACGTGCAGGGTTTGTCCCTTCCTGATGATGGAGTTTTCCATTCCTCCTGGCCCTGTGATAGCATTTCTGTTTCATCCTTTATTTCAGCAATGAAACATTAATTGGGAGGGGTGGGGAGGTGGTTTGTCCTTTTTTTCCTGTGGAACAAGAAGTCATGCAGAATTCTCTCTTTGGATTATATACATTTGTTTTTATATATGTAAATCTTGGCTGAGTGTGGTGGGTTCAACAGGTGAGAGTAGGCAAGGCTGGTTCATTGGTGCCAGGAGGAGCTCAGCTGAGCTGGACGGGACTCATTCAGCAATGTTTCAGCCATATGGATCTAATTCCAGAAGAAACCCCTCTTCTTAATTGTTCTTGTTCCTTGCCATGCTTATTTTTCCATTTAACTTTGGAAATTAAAAACAGCAACTAGTGAAGAACCCCAAGCAAAATGGCTCAAAACCGTTAAAATAGGAAACCAGTTGAAAAGTTGATGAGGTGACTTTGTTACTCTGCTGAGCTGGTTTATTTTTATGGCTGAAGGAGTGAACATCTTTCTGCCCAGTCCACAGTGCAGCTTAGTTCCCAGCTCAGGGTTTTTCCTGCAGACACTGGCTTCTAAACCCCTAATGAAACCTGGTAGTCCGCAGCCCTGCTGCTATGTCGCATGGATGCAGCAATCCGCAGCGCGGGCACTGGCCCCTGTAAAGTTTCTGTGCTTCTGTACAAGACCAGGAAATGCAGGGGCTTGAGATTGCACTGTGATCTTCTCATGTTTAGGTTGCTAGTACAAAATGATGTGTGTTTTGTTGGCTTAGGCCAAATGGTTTGCTTAGTGCCTTACCTGAGCAAGAAAAACGTAAGTTTTATTCTCTGATAGTTCTAGGTAAAGCTCTGCTCTAAGCAGAAACATCCTAGGGAAGAGGAAGGCTGGTGCCAAACTCTGGGTCTGCAGCATTTTGTTGCGTCCTTCCCAAGGACTGGTGGGTGACGAATGAGGAACCTGAGGAGTCCCAAGGCACAGTGTGAGGAGCGGGGGGTGTCTCTCTCTGCTGCAAGCATTGCACTGGCTCCCTTAGAAGAAGAACCCGACTGGAGTGATCCAGAGTGGATCCCCTGCCACACCTCCAGCGTTAGCCTTGAATTGACAGTGGCCTCGGTGCTGTTTTGAGAGGTGAGGCTTGAATCAGCGTGTCCCAGTCTGAGGCATATGTCCAGGTGCCAACACCTTCTGCTGCAGGTTGTGGCAGGGGGTTTTGGAGCCAGCAAAGCCTGCTTGCAAAGCCTGCTGCCTCTCCAGGGTGCAATCCTGATGTCTGATGTAAGGCTGCGCTCCCACCACAACCTTGCCCTGAACAGCACTGCTGATGCAAGTGTTGTCTCTGTTACCTGAAGCACCAAGATTGGTCTTTGGGAAAAGAAGTGCAGCTCTGCTCTGAACAACATCTTCATATTTCCTTACCAACTCTGGCGCTGGAGGCACTTGGGACCGCTTGGTCTGTGATCTGTCAGAGATTTCTGCAGCACCATTTTTTCTCAAAAAAGGGCACTTTGGTTTCCTGCAGTATCTTTCAGGGACAGAGTATTTCCAAGGGAGCAAAACCTTCCCAAATTTCCCTTCTGAAATGGGTGACAAAGCACATCAGAAGCCCCCACACATCTCCAGAATTGTCAGGGAGGCTGCAAGCAGTATTTTCACATTCAAGGTTTGTGACTCAGTCAGTGAGAAGTTGGCTTGAAAATCACCAGCTGTTTCTGCTGTCAGTTTTTATCTGAGTACAGTATCAGGTGTCCCTTCCCTTAGCAGGTTTTTTTGGATTAACACCCCCTTGCTGATGAGGAATGTGGGGGAACCCCCCTGCTAGCTGAGGCCTGGAAGATGCTCCAGAGCCAGCATGGCCCTGGGCCAGGCTGTGCCCCTCGCCCAGCCAGGCTTAGCCCAGGGTGCCTGCGTGCCCCAGGGCAGTGCCCCGGGCCTGAAGCCAGCGGCTGGCTGCCGGGACAACCTGGTTTGTCATCTTAGACCAAGAACCTCCCCAGGAGCAAAAATCTGCCTCTGCAGCTTGGGGCAGTCTGCAGCCGGTGGGAGCAGTGCCTTCCCTTCCTCCTGAAAGCAAGCACCCAGCATCTTTCTCCAGAGTCACAGCTGGTTCTGCTGCAATACTGCTGCCTTAGCAGAACATGAATTCTTTCCTCACCCCAAAGATTTATGTAGATAATTACTTCTCTGAAGCGATACTCCCGGGGTCAGGACTTTTCGTGGCACTGAGAGGTGCTGCAAGGCCTTTCTGTGGCTGCTGTGAGTAGGCAAAGAATCAGGATTATCTGCATGGAGAACCTGGCTTTTGCTCAAAGTCTTGTGTCTGCACAGACATGGCCAGCGGTAGGACAGTAAGTGGAGCAGGTGTAAAGGAGGTGGGAAGCCTGGTAGGTTTGGTGGTGCAGAGAGGGAGGTAAACGTGTGGTACCCTCCCCAGGGGAGGAAACACTGGGGTGGCCCCATTCCGGGGAGATCATGGAAAGTAAAGTTGGTTGCTGGTCCCTGCGGTCCATGGGAATGGGGAAGGTACCTTGTGCCTGTGTTTGAGTCCAGTGGTTGGGCGAGGCAGCCAGTCCCCAGAGCCAGGGGAAAGGCTCTTCCTTCAGGCCCTGCTTCGCCGTAGGACTGGGGAAGGCACATCCTGGGCTCTTTCGCAGGAGCTTTGGCCCCCTCTCCTAGCTGCATGGATCTCTGTACCTTTCCGGCTGTGCGTTACAACAGCAGTAGCTTCAGACAGGAGAAAAATGAGTTTCAGTCAAGAGAGGAGACTTTTGCTGTCAATAGATTAAGTAATGTCCACGGGAGACGAGGGTAGTCGGTGGCATACAAACACAGGGGGGCAGACATGCAGTGGGAAGGCGAGGCTGCAGCTGGGGACTTGTCTTGAATGGAAACTGCCTTTGCCCTCACCTCCCTGCCTGCCATTTGGAGGTAATCCTCCTTTGTGACAGCTTGCCATCTGCCTTGTTTATTTGCAGACCCTGTGGAGTCACAGCTCTCCGTGGTCTGTACATGATATACAGTAACGTGTCTTGTTCCAGAGCACTCCTGCCATCTCCAGGCTTTCTGTCCCTGTCCTCCATTGCCCATCCCCTTCCTAGGCTTTGAATTCAGCCAGCAACTTTCCTGGGTGTTAAAATATGGTTTATTAATATTATTTTTTTTGAATGCAGATGCTTTAGATGTAGAAATTATGTGAAATCCCAATTCCTCTGTGGTTCCTTGTGCAGCGCTTTCTTCTCTTGCCTGACAGCACTGCTGTCAGATCTCTGGTAATACTTCAGGCACTCCTTTCCCCTCGGAACACCACGAAGAACTGAGAGTAGCTGCCACATCTCCCTAGGTCTGCATATCGTTCCTGTTTGAGACCTCTGAAGCGAGACACTGACAGCCACACGCCGTGCCCTTGCCTTGCAATAACCAGGCTGTGTAGCATAGCCAGCGAGAAAGCCCTCGGTGCTGCTGGCTGGCCCCAGTGAGACTCTCCAGGACCCTCAGCTCTTCATTTGTGTTTTGGGAGAGCATTTAAGTGGCAATCCCATGGTTGAAAGTGATACCCAGCTGTTTTCCCTCTGTCCTTGCAGTGTTGTTGGGGGGAGTAAGCAATAACACAGCTGATCATCCCTTTGGCATAACTTCAGCGTTGTTAACTGGCCCTTTCCCTAATCCCTTGTGCAGGGACCTGCCGGGTGTCACCTCTACAGAAGAGACCTCAATTCCCTTATTGCTTATAGACACTGCTGGCTGTGGCCTGTTTGAGCTGGAAGTGGAAGATGAACAGTCTAAGGGGAATCCAGGTACCGTTGTTCAGAAAATTTTATTGGGCAGAATTGATTGTCTGAGGTCCTCGGCCTCCCATGGGCTTGGCTACTGCACCAGCTGAGCCATGACCCAGAGATGTGTGTCCCCCTGCAGAGCAGGTAGCGGTGGGAAGGTGGGGTCCCAGGAGCTTATCTGAGAGATCATTTCCTCTGAAAATCCTCAAATTCAAAGGGCTCTGAACCTTGGCAGAGTGGCCACAGGGCTGTGATGACAGCGTGCAGCTTGTGGGTGGCCACTCTGGCTGCCCTGTCCCCTTGCAGAGACATTTCTGTGCGCTGTGGGTCCCTGTGACAGATGCTTCACACGAGTTGACAGGCAAATAATGTCAGGCAGGGCACAAGAGAGGCTCTAGATGTGGCTCAGAATGGCCTCCCAGTCCTCTGCTGCTGTCGTGAAGGCCTGTATAGCTCTTCTCCATGGGTTTTCTTAGGAGACTGAGTTTCCTGATGGTTTTTGACTTAAAAAATAGGTTTCATTATGGCCATGCCACCTCATCCACAGCCACCCCTGCCTGCCTGGCTGCTGCCCGCAGTTTGCCCAATGGCCAAGCCACAGGCTTTCCCAGCCATTTGCTCTCACATATCCAGAAAGCTTATTTGGCAACGTGACTGCCTGCTTCAGGGATTCATTTATTTTCCTCTCTGCTCACCAATGCGGATCTCATGCCAGCAACAGATTTCTGAGGCTTCAAGCCCCTCTCTGGCAAGACAGGGAAAATGGACTGTAAAATACAAGGACAGTTTTTACCAGTTTAAATATCTTTTGTCTTCTTTTGTTTGAAAGTCCACCAGCATTGAAGTGCCTCTTGTTTTTCCATACACCCATCCCTGTGGCCCTGCTCACCAGAGACAGGCTCTCATCCATCCCCACATGGAGAGCCAAGACTTGTCTAAGATAACTCAGGGCTTTGAGCAGGGGATTAGATGCACGTCTCCCAGAATTTGTGTGGCAGCCTTTTGGAGCAGCATACTGCAGATTCTTGACTTGTATACCTGTGTTTTGCTGCAAAACGGAGGGTGATGTCAGTCCAGCCAATAAACCAGTGAAGCAGTTTGCATTTGTGTTTAACTTACCGTCATTAGATCTCCCTGAACCAGCCGTTGCCCTGGATAGCTAGTTGGTTATGGCAAACTGCCTGTAGTCTCCAGAAGGTCTGAGCACGTGGTTCTGAGCGTAAAGCTTGCTTATTTGGTCAGGGGGCTTTAGAAATATGGGGACTTGAAACAGCAGACTAAAAAGGAAAGGTGGAGTTTTTTCAGTCGCAGCGCAGAGAATTGAATTTTTAGTGAGGTGTAGGGTCTCGCTTCAGAGGGAGAATCCACTGTTGCCTGGATTATCAGTGATCTCTTGGGTTAATATGGGAAGGCCAGAGAAAGCCAAGTGCTGTTCAGAAACCTCTTCCTAAGCCTGGGTGAGCTGGTGACTTGGAAAGGCAAGACGTAAGCTCTGTGCAGCCCTGGGAGCCAGGCTGGGTAGCACGTTGCTGTCTAGCCAAGCAGGAGGCTGGGAATCGCTGTCCCTGTGCAAGGCTGGACCACAGGCAGGGCTTTCCAGAGCCTTTCCTTGCCACCCAAGGGGAGGTGGGTGATTTCTCCAAGCCGCAGCATGTTCAAGCTGGTGGCTTCGGCCTCCACCTGCCAGCCTGCTCCCATCCCCTTCTGCTTTCTGCCCTAGGGGAGGTGCAGCTGGCTGGTTTGCACATCCAGGCCTTGGTGGAAGCTGGTGTGAAGGCAAGAGACATCGCTGTTGTGGCCCCCTACAACCTCCAGGTGAGCCCCCCCTCCACTGGCATCCCCCCTCTCTTTCTGCATGCGGGTGGAGCAAATGCACGGGGGTGGATTCAGAGCTTGGCATCTTCAGGAGAGATACCCGGGCATCCTCAGAGCGACAAGGGTGGAAGTCAGTGGAGCCAAACTCTGATCAACATTAGTGGTCACCTTCGCCATGTTTAAGCAGCTTGAGGCCATGGAGGGAAGAGGTGTTAGACAGGTATTTTCCACTCCCAGCCTCGGGAGTCGGTGTTTGACTTTCAGGAGATGTGAGCGCTCTTCTTTGGGGGTTTGAGAGGAAGGGACTTTACCAAAACAAAGCCATTTAAATCCTTTTCACCTTGTGCTTTTCTTTAAAAGGTAACTACCACATGTTTTTCAGGTGGACATGCTAAGAGAGCACCTTTGCCACAGGTACCCAGAGCTGGAAGTTAAGTCAGTGGATGGTTTCCAGGGAAGGGAGAAGGAGGCAGTGATCCTGTCATTTGTCAGATCCAACAGGAGAGGTAAGAGTTCACTGCCGGAGAGTTACTCTGTGGGGAATGGGGAAGAAATGGGAACTGTGTGATTGCTCAGAGGTCGCTCAGCAACATGCCAAGTGCTGCAGTTTAATTGCAGTTCTGATGGTCTCTAGCACTCTGCTCTGAATGAATTTACTGGCAAGAACCTTCCTTTTTGGCCTTTTTTTTTTTTGTAATGAACAAGTAGATTTTCTTTCAGGGTTGCAGAGGAAGGCTCCCATGCTAGGCAGCAGGTAAAAAGGAAGCCAGGATTGCTTAGTTTGAAGGTTTCCTGGCTATCGAGGCCTCAGAAATTATTTAAACCGGGTCTTAAGAATAGCACTGCACATTAACACCACATTTACTGGCATGCTGGACACTTCTCACAGAAGGGGAAAATTCAGGGCGCTTATTTCTTTGGTTTGGAGCCTATTTTGGGTCACTTCCCCAAAGAAAGCAAGCAGGAGCTGGCGTTAAAAGTCATGCACAGAAAACACTTCTTTTGGGAGCAAAATTTAGAGCGGAAAATCATGTTCTTTCCTATCAGCAGCGGCAGCAAAAGTTAATAGCTGGAAAAAAGCTGCTGCCCTGGAGCTGTGAGGCTCCTCCAGCAGAGCTGTCGGCCCGTGTTGGAGGGTTCTGTGGGCGCCAGCTCAAGGAAAGGGTGTGAACAGGCCCACTGCGGGAGGCACCTCTTTCCCCCCCCCGTGGATCACTGCCCTTTTCAAACCCTGGGATGCGTCCCCTGCCGTGCTGCCCTTGCTGCTAACGCTGCTGAAGGGGAAACACTGCCTGTGTGCTGGGAGTGTCTACAAGGGGAAAAAGGGGGAAAGGATTCGTGGAAGGAGAGGGTTGTTTGTTTGGTTTTTTTTACAGGAAAGCCTAGAGCAAGAAAAGCAGCACTGGGGGGAGAATGGAGGTGGGGGACAGAGCTAAGAATAGTCCTTGTTCGTGAGTGACTCACCTCGCCTTGGCTGAGTGGGAGCTGGTGTCCCCAGGAAGGTGTGTGGCCCCCGGCCTGGGCACAGCCAGCAGCCAGAGATCAGGTGGGGTGCAGGGATCGCTCCCTGTCCGGGTGGCACAAGGCAGCTTCTCTTGGTGTCTGGGCACAGGCTCTGGTGTGCAAGAAGAGCTGCCGGTAGCACCCTCCGAGAGCCCTGGGAGAAATCTGTGCCCTCTTGCAGCTGCATTTCTCTGTTCAGAGGAGGCTGGGACCTGGACCAGCAGTGCCTGACCCTCTGCAGCCATTCCCGGTCCAGCAGCAAACCCCCTTGGCAGATCAGGAGAGCTGGACTTGCGCCCACAGTCAGGCAAAACCACATCAAAGAAAGTGGAACTGGTTCTCTGAGCTGCAGAGCACAGGGAGGAGATCCCCCCACCCTGTTCCTCAAAGGCCATGCAAACGACTACTCAGCCATGGTCAGGCAAGGTGGAAACAGAGCCAGGCCGGTCACCATGCCGGCCGAGACTCATTTCTTCTCCTCTTATCCCCAGGAGCTGGAAACTCAAAAGCCGCCCACACTCCCCTTCTTGCTAGCTGATCCTGAGTCATCTTGGCATTTGCTAGCTCTTACTGCTTGGCTCTGAGAGAAGAGCCAGGGAGCAGAAGCAAACCTTGCAGAGTTGCCTAAACGATTATTACTCTAAACCCACCAAGAGTTTGGGGGCAGATGGGGGGAGCAGTACAGGACCAGGTGTGTATTTCTTTACCTGTGGTTCCTCTTCTGTCACAAGGTGAACCTCTGGACTGTGTCTGCCCCAGGTCCCAGCCTGATCATGTGCCATGGGCCACCCAGGAGAATATTTCTCCTCTCTGTGTCGCCCCCGCTCCTGCCCCTGGGAGCTCGGTGCGGGGCCCTCACTCGAGCTTGTAGGGAGTGAAACAAGAGGCAGAAGACGAAGGTACCAGTGAGAGCCAGGGACCAGAGCCCAGTAAACACCGACTCCCACCCTTTGGCCAAGCCACCCTTTGATTGTTTGGGCCAAATCTAGACCTGAAGCCAACCCCACATCCACAGCCCTACACCCCTCGGTTTCTTTCTCGCAGGTGAGGTGGGCTTTCTGTCGGAAGAGCGGAGGATAAACGTGGCGGTGACCCGCGCCCGGCGCCATGTGGCCATCATCTGTGACACCCACACCGTCACCTCCCAGGCCTTTCTGAAGCGGCTGGTGGATTATTTCAGTGGGCACGGGGAGGTGCGCACAGCCTTCGAGTACCTCGACAACCTCGCGCCCGAATGCTATGCTCAGGAGGGCCGTGGTGAGCGGCAGCGAGGGGCAAAGCTCCCTGCAGCACCTGGCCCCAAACTGCAGCTGCCGGCGGGGAGGAAGCTCAAAGCAGCAGCAGCGGCCGAAGCAGCGTGTCGGAAGCCAGAAGCGCATTTCTCTCCCAGCACCAGTGGACCTGGGAGTGAGAGCCCAGGGACAAAAGACGGTGCTGAGAAGTTCAAGGCTGTGCTGGCGGCCTTCCTGGAGAGTGACGAGGTGCAGCTGGATTTCCCCCCGTCCCTCAGTTCCCACGATCGGATGCTGGTTCACCTGACGGCGGAGGACTACAGGCTGCAGCACTGGAGCACTGGGGAGGGCCGGGACCGGTTCGTCAGCGTTCGCAAGAAAGAGCCTGCCGAGCCGTCGCGACCCACAGCCACCCTCCCCAGCCAGCAGCTCCCCATTCCTCAGCCACAGCGTCCCAGCGGAGAAACCCCCAGCCCCGCTGAGCCAGGAGGAAGCAGCGAAGGCTCAGGGAAACTGGACCTGAAAACCCTGCACCTGGAGAGAGTCCGGAGGGAGGAAGCCAGACGGGAGGAGGCAGCCAAGAAGGCTCAGGAGCTCAGCACCGGCCTTCCATGCAGCAGCAGGAAAAAAGACAAAACCGAAGCCAAAGGTAGGTCACTCTCTTCATAACCAGCCCAATTAATGGTCTTCCTTGAATGGATCCTGCTACTTAATCCCCATGTTTTCACCTCCAGGCCTTGGGATTTGTCTGTGGGCGTGGAATATGGAATGGGGCTCTTGGAAAGCTCTCATGCTTGTCACTGCAGAGATGGGAGAACTGGCAGGGCCATGCATCAGATGGCTGCAGCTTCTGGGAGGGGGGTTTTGGAGGCCTGAGGGCACATATCTTAAGTCGAAAGAAAAACACGGGGGACTCTTTCCCAGGAAGAGAGGCTCAGGAGTTAGATGGGAGGCTCCCAAGTGTAGGGACAGGGACTAAGAGGAGTACCTGGCCCATACTAAAGGATGTGGCTGCCTCCTAAACACAGAGGCCAGGGAAAACAGAGCCAGGAGCTGCCGTCCTCCTTGCCGGACATGGTCCCATCCTCTTCCCCAGCCCCTTCCAGCTGAGGGACGCACCCAGGCTGCTGTGCAGGAGCACCTGTGAGCACAGCCCAGAGTTTACTGGTACGAGGGGTCTCGTGGGGGCTGAAAGCCCAGTCGCTGCAAACAGTGACTCACTGGCCCCACACTGCTTCTCACTAGCCCAGGCTGGAGCCGCGGGTCACTCGGGTTTGTTCCCACCTTCTAAGCAGGTAGTTCAATGGCCCCTCTCTTCTCCCCAGGAAAGGCAGCAGTTAAGAGTGGGGCAGACAGCGTTGCAGAAGAGGATATCGACGCTCTGATTTCTGCTGCCGTTAAAGCTGACACCACCTGCAGCTTCCCCCGCTGCAAAGCCAGTGTAACAACCCTGGGACAGCTCTGCCTGCACTGCAACAGCCGCTACTGCCTCAGCCACCACATCCCGGAGGTACGCGTGGGGCTGGGCAACCGCCAGGGCTTGGGCCCTGAGGGGGCTGGAGAGCAGCAGGATGTGCCAAGCAGCACTGGCTTTACGTGGGACTTCTGCCCTCTGAGCTCCCCAGGCAGGATTTCCTCACAGGGAGTTGAAAGCAGAACCCTCTGTCAGAGCTTTTGCTAGAGCTGCAGGTACAAAGGGCTGCCAGGTGCTGACACGTGGGCTCTGCGTGTCTCCTCCTGAGAGCTTTTCCTTTTTTTCCCCGCTTGCTTTGTGGCCTTCTTCACCATCCTCTGGCACTTACATTCCCAGGTGGTGCAGATAAAATGAGGCAGAGAGGAGAAATGCAGAGGCACAAGCTTACAGCAGCAGCCTGGGGGAGCCTGGGCACATGATTCCTGGCTTTTTGCAGGTTCCCTCTGCCACCCGGGATAGGCCAAGGCTCAGGCCCGCACGGAGCAGCAGTCGTGCCCGGGTAGCGATGAGGCATTTCCCTAAGTGCCTCCCTGGCTGGGAGCGGCGTCTCTCCACGCTGTGCAGCCTCAGCGCCAGCTCCCATCTGGAGCCAAGGGCCAGCCGGCCCTCAGCTGCCTCTGCTCTGCCTTCTTGTGCTGGGGGCTCTGAGCAGGCATCTTGGCAGCCGTGCAGCCTCCTGCTCCTCCGTGGGAGCAGCGCAGTGATGGCCACAGATCCAGCAGCTTCCTCCCCAGCTGCTTGACAGCCCTTGCCCCTTCCAGCGGGGAAGGAAGGACACCGAGGTTAAACTGGAGTCAGGCTTCATCTTCCTGCCCAGGTTGCAGAGGCTGTCGGGGAAGTTTAAGCCTCCAGGGTTGTCACCATGATGTTTTGTGGTTGGCCTTGGGGTTCGAGTCCTGCGGGCAGAGCTGACGTGGCTGGGGGGTGGCAGTGATGAGTACTGGGCTGAGAGAGGATGATTTTCCCTTCAGCTGCATCGCCCTGGGCCATGGTGCCCTTCCTGCAGCACCCGGGCACCACTGCACTGCGCAGAGCCTCCCGGAGCATAGCAGCGCCTGGGGAGCTGGCCTGTAAATCCCCGGCATAGATTTTCCCCTTGTCAAGTACTATCTGTTTCCATGGCAAAGAATAGTTGTATTTATGGTCATTCACAATCCAGTTGGGATAGAAATTTATTTCCTGCAGAATTGCCTCTCCCTGCTGAATTGGAATGAGGACTCCAGTGAGAAACAACTGGAAGGGTAAAATCCACATTAAGGAGTTTTTCTTGCTTTTTAAAGTTCAGCCCTTTTTCTAGACATTACCAGGCTTCGATGTGAAGTAGCCTGGGACCTCCTACCCGTGCCTGGCCCTGAGCGGGGCTGGCACGGACCTGGAGCCCTCTCAGAGGGCTGGCCAGAAAGGGCTCCCACTCCCCTTCAGCAGTCCCCAGCTGCTGCCCCAAACCCCACCGGCTGATGCTCCAGCACCTGCTGACGCAGTTCAGCGCTGCTCTGGGGACCCGTCATCTGCGGCCAGTCCTGGCTCGGAGCCACATGCCAGGGGCTGGCCCCACTGGTCCTGGCCACCAACTGCCCGCCCTGGCAGGGACGGGAGCGGAATCATGGCACTGGGCTCCCCAGATCAGCTTAGGTCAGGAAGACATCGAGGGACTCTGGGAGGGATCAAGCAGGAGGGGTAAACTTTTAGGATCTCTCACCTGGGCCTGGTGGAGATGGTCCAGGGTGGTGTTGAACTTGGCTTAATGCATCTTAAACATGGGCTGGGCTTCAGCACAGCCCAGTTTGGGAAAGGGTTTGCCTGTACAGAATAGTATGAAGCTTTTTTTAATTCCAGTACAGAAGACAGATTTAATTACATTAAGGAAGCAGATAGATGGCTGAAAAAGCCTCTTCTTATTTCCCAAGCCACCTTCCCTATTTCACTCCTTTTCCCCTCAGATCTTACCATGTTAGCAGAGAGCTTGGTTTCATTTCTCTCTCACTGTAAAAGATCTGGCTGCTCACACGACGAGGGCAAGTTTTCCCCAGATGTTGAGAGTTTTGGAAGGAGGCGCTTAAACCATCCACCAGGATGATTTACGTGCTGCACAGATTCCAGGAGAAAGATTATATTTTGGTTTTTGTTAGAGGAGCAGTAAATAAATAGGAAATGGTGTCAGGGGGTGCAAAGCAGGTAGAAGAGGAATCGAAGGCTCTGAAATAAAATCACCTGATTCCCCCATAGGCGATGGCTGCCCCGTTTGCCGGCTACCAGCAGTGTCCGTTCTCTCCCCACCAGGTTCACGGCTGCGGGGCCAAGGCCAAGGCCCACGCACGGCAGAGGATCAGCAGGGAGGGGGTTCTCTACCCTGGGAGCGGCTCCAAAGACAAGTCCCTGGACCCGGCCAGGAGAGCCCAGCTCCAGCGGCGCCTGGACAAGAAGCTCAACGAACTGACCAGCCAGAGAAAGAGCAAAAAGAGAGACAAGGAGAAGTGATGAAGGACCCGAATGCTGCTTTTTTAACCTTGAAGTCACAGGTCAGGCTCCATAAACCAAAGATGCTATTAAAGCTCCAGGGCTGTGCTGAGCCCACAAGGAACACGGGTGATCTGGGTTTGGGTGGTGGACACCTTGGAGCAGGAGTGCCTAAATAAAGAGGGGCTGGGCCCCCCTAAACTGCAGAGCTGGAAGACAGAGAGCAGCTTTGCTGGTCCCCCTTATCCTTGCTGCTGAAGGCATGGAGGGGCCCAGAGAGGCTGGGAATGCCAGCAGATGGGCACTGGAACACCTAAAGCAGTTGGCTGCTGCTGGGACATTTTTCCTTGCTACAGTAAAAAGATAAATGTGTGTGAGCAAGAACATGAGAGGAGCTGAAAAGAGGAGGAGGCTTTCCTCAGGGGAGGGTGACTAAGGAAGCGGGTGCCTCCAGCTCCCTTCTCCCACTCCAGCACCCCTCCCAGCCCTGCTCGGAGCGAGGGCAGCTGGCGTGTCCATGCAGCAGATTGCAGGGGCTGTGACGTAGCCCAGCACGTTTCTGTCTCTTCCCAAGTGCTAGATGAGGTGGCTAAGAATCAGATTTTCCCCCAGACTTCAGTCCGTGTTCATCCCGGCTATGAACACCTTTCAAAAAAAACCTCTTCAGCAAACCTCATCCTTCCAAAACACCCTTTGCAGCCCCAGTCGTGGGCCAGCCCGGCCTGTGCCTGTCTCAGCTCCGAGCAGCGCTTGGCTCGTGCCCTGGCCCTGCGGCAGGGATGGCACCAGCTGGCACAGCAGCAGATGGGACACGGGGGCTTGGGGAGGGGAAGGTGAGGAGGGAGAGCCGGAGCATGGGAGAAGAAAATCTGCGCGTCGGTGAGCGGTGCTGGGCGTACACAGGGCAAAGAGCCAGAGCAGCGCCTGTGTCAGGGGGACATGCCACAGAGAAATCACAGCCTTGTCCCAAAGTGAAGGTCAGGCAGGGAAGAGGGATAAGCAGAAAGGAAAATTGCTGCCAGCTGGGGGTACCACAACCATGTTATCTTTATTCAGGAATAAATGGCTCATTCACACTTTTTTTCCACCCCCTCTGCTCAAATCATTCAAGCACCCACCTCGCTGCCCATCCTGCCCCCGTAGCACCAGCTTTCTGGCAAACAGCCCCAAACGCCCCCAAATCCTGGGTTCCTGCTGACATCCTGCAGGCAGAGCCCAGCTGGGCCCCAGGGCAGCATCTGCCCACCAACCCTTGCTGTGGGGGACAGCTGTTGGCCCCCCAGAACCCCCAAACCTTACCCAAGGGCTGGTTATGAGCAGGCAGGATCCAGGCTTTTCCCCTCCCTTCCCCTGAAACAGGAGCTGAGCTTAAAAATTATGAAATTAGGGGTCTCTTGTGTCTGCCTTCGGTCACAGGGCCAAGACGTTCCTCTCAGTGCTCCAAGTTTGGATAAAACAAGCGAGTTTGGGGATAAGCAAGTCAAAGGGCAACGCCAGGACTGTGCTTGTACGAAAGAACCCCCAGACATGAGATTTGTGTCAGAAGTGGAGGAATTTGCTGTGGGGTTGTAAGCAACCCCAAGGGTTAGTTTAGCTGGAAGAGGGCCAGGTGGGGGGGGGAAAAGCCAACCCCGATTGTGTTGGACCTTTAGAGGATCACAGCCTGGTACTGACCTCAAACACAAGAAAGCTGGAAAACCCAAACCACTTGTCAAGTCCAGAGATAGCTCTGCAGGCAGCAGAGAGCTGGGCAGAGAGGGGCTGGGCAGCAGAAGGAGGACTTGGGGGCATTGGTGGGTGGAAAGCTGCCTGTGAGCCAGCAATGTGAGCTGGCAGCCCAGAAAGCCACCCCTGTGCTGGGCTGCACCCAGAGCAGTGTGGGCAGCAGGGTGAGGGGGGGATTCTCCCCCTCTGCCCCGCTCTTGGGAGACCCCCCTGCAGTGCTGGGTCCAGCTCTGGGGGCACCAACAGCAGAAGGACACGGACCTGCTCGAGTGGGGCCAGAGGAGGCCACGAAGATGCTTGGGGGGGCTGGATCCCCTCCTCTGTGAGGACAGGCTGAGAGAGTTGGGGGTTCAGCTGGAGAAGAGAAGGCTCTGGGGAGACCTTAGAGCAGCCTCCCAGGACTGAAAGGGGCTACAGGAAAGGGGGGGAGGGACAAGACAAGGGGTAATGGGTTTAAACTGACAGAGGGGAGATTTAGATGAGATCTAAGGAAGAAATTCTTCCCTGTGAGGGGGTGAGGCCCTGGCACAGGCTGCCCAGAGAAGCTGTGGCTGCCCCCTCCCTGGAAGGGTTCAAGGCCAGGTTGGATGGGGCTTTGGGCAACCGGGGCTAGTGGAAGGTGTCCCTGTGTGGGGCAGGGGGTGGCACTGGATGGGCTTTAATGTCCCTTCCAGCCCAAACCAGTCTGTGATTCTGTGACACAACAATCACTTTTTCCACTGTTCTTTCTCCCTTTTTCCATTCTCACTGGAAATGTTTCAGCCCCGGTGCAGCTCACCAAAATAGCTCACCAAAATCCCTCCAAAAACCAACAGAAAAACCACATGCGCCGAGAGAAACCGCATGGGGCTGGCACTTTATCAACCCCCTCCCCATTTACCCCCCCCCGTCAACCAAAAACCACCTTCCAAAGAAATCCACCCCCTCCCCAAGAGCCCTTGGGGCCCACATTCAAGGGCACCACCGATTCGGGGGGGCTGCCGGGGAGCTTGGGGGAGCCCGGCTGGTGGCCAGGCAGTGCTTTGGGGAGGTTGTTGGTGGTTTTGGTCCAGTTGAAGGGAGGGCTCCTTTCACAGCGAGTCTGTCGGCAGCCCCCAGCGCATGCGGGGGTGATGTGGGGGAGGGCAGAGACGCAGCTGCCGAGTTGCTCCATCCTCCGAGTGGCGAGTTGTCCTGCCCGAGGAGCGCCGGCAGCTCTGCCTCGGCACCACCCGGTCACTGCCCAGCTGCCAACACCATGTCGTGGCATCCCCTGGCCAGGCAGAGCCCCCCTCCTCTGCCCACAGAGCCGGTGTCGGGGCGCGGGGCCGCGAGGGCACAACAGGCCCCCCCCCGGCAGCATCCTAGTTCCGCCGGAGCGGGTGCCACATGGAGACGGGCTTCCTCAGCGTGGCCAGCATCTGGTTCCAGTGCGTGATGCCCATCCCGCTGGCTGCCGGGCCGATGAGGACGTGGCCCGTGTTGTCGGCGTGGCCGTCCTCGCCACACTCAGCCACCGTCACCCGCAGGGACAGGTCCTGGGGGGAGCGCGAGGCTGTCACGAGGGCCTGGCACCGAGCGGCCACTGCACTGGTAGTGCTGCCCCCCCATATCCGTACCCCCGCGCCCTCCCTGACCAGACTTACGCAGACAGACATACCCTCAGTCCTCACCCGTACATAACGTCCCCTGTATCCCCCACCCCATAAATACATGCCCACCAAAACATTTGTACGTGCCCCGTATATACACGTCCCTCTACACCTCCATTCATAAACCCCCGCCACTTGCCAACCCTACATGCTCCTCCCCAGGCACAGCCACACCCTGTACGTGTGTATATATGTATATACATCCTCCCATGCCCCCACCAGACTGACACCACCCCTCTACTTTCTCCACATCCCCCAAACCCCTCCGCACCCATCCGCATACACAACCACACCCTACACATCTACATCCCCCTACATCCCCCCACCCACCTGTACATGCTCCCCTCGACAGTCATACCCCATCCGTGCCACCACCACCACGCTACGTCCCCCCAAACCCTACATGCACATGTACGGCCGCACCCCACAGCTCCTACCAGCCCCCCAGCACAGGGATTTGGGGACTGAGGGATGTGTCCCCCTCCCCCCTGCCTTCCCCCCAGGCTGGGACCCACCTGGAGCACGATGGCCGGCACCGAGAAGATCATGGCCTCGTTGAAGACAGGGTTGGTGTCGTCCCGCTTCACTGCTGTCTTTTTCTTGCTGATCTTCCTCCCGTCCTGCAGCAGGTACACCTTGACGAAGGGATCTGCTCAGGGCCGGGGAAGAGAAAAGCCCCAGGGTCAGCCACATGTGTTCCCTGCGGCAGGGAAAAAGAGGAGGAAGCCGTCCCTGGCCAGCCTTCCCGGTTGGGTCCAGCCCCAGTGGGACCCGCTCCAGTAAACACCCACATGGCACGGTGGGATGAACTGGGAGAAAGGCCCCTCCAGCCCACAGGAGACCCAGGGACCCCCATGCCCACCCGCACCCCCCTCTCACCTGCAGTCCCTTTGCCGTTGGTCCACACGAGGTTCTTGGCCTTGACCACCACCACCGTCAGGCGCTCGGCCGTGGGCAGGTAGCTCAGGGAGAGCAGGATCTCCCCCACAGTGTCCACCGCCTGCAGGACACAACGGCCCATCAACACCCCCCCAAAAAAGCCTGGGTGGGAAACAGAGCCCCCCCCACCCCACTCACCTTGTTCAGGTCCTGCAGATAGAGCCAAGCGTTGAAGGGACGCACGGCCAGGTCCAGGTCGGAGAGCTTGAGCTCGGCCACGCCGGTGCTGACGTTCCTCTCGTCCTCGTCGATGCCAAAGACGGAGAAGCGGAGGCTGTTCTCCTCCAGCGCCGCCGGGTCCAGCGGGATGGAGAAGCGCTCGTCGAAGGCCACGGCGTAGGCGCTCCGCTGAATCTGCCACAGGGGAGACAGGGTGGGGGGAAATTGCCTTGACACCCACCAGGTTTTGGGGTCACATCCCACATTGCCCCCCTTTCTCTGGTGGGAATGCCTGGGGGGTCCAAGCCTTGATGGGGACAGAGGTTATTTCCCACCTGACTCCAGCAGCTGCTCAGTGACCAGGGTAGAAAGCAGGGGCTGTGACACACCATGTTGCCTATTAATTCTTTTAATTAAACATTTCAGGTCAATCTGGTGCTCTCAGATGCAAGAGCCCTGTGAACTCGGTGGCGTGGCTGACTCGGCCACTCCCAGCTACAGGATTTGGCTGAGGGGGTGCAACCCCCAGCCCCTCTCCAAGGCAGAGCCAACGGGCTTTGCAGCCCCCAAACGTGCCAAATGGGGACAAGGCTTTCTGCCAGACGTCTCTGTCATGTCCCTTGGAGCAAATGCAGCAGCAGCTCCCTGGGTCCCATCCTGCAGGGTGCTGGTCACTACCCGCTCCCAGAGCACTGGTTGGGGGGAACCTGCTCTGAAATCATCACTTAAAGACTTTTTTCCTCCTACTCCAGCCCTTTTCTTTTGGCACCCACGGTACCCAGCACAGATTGGGGGGTTGTGCTGGAGGGAGGCCTGGTGCTCCCGAGGGATGAGAACCCGCAGCCCTGATGGTGTGGGGCGAAGTGGAGCCCACAGCTCCCACTGCCCACCCAGAGCCGGCTGCGGTGCTGGAAGAGGGATCCCGCTGTGGGACTGGGGGGCTCAGCCCTCACCTCACCACGCTGCAGCCCCCGGATGCCCGTGCAGCCCTGGGGAGATGGCTCATCTCATCCCAGGGACTCTGCTCCGAGCCGTGCTCCCTCCCAGGGGTGAAGGGCATGAAGCAGCTGCGAGGTGGCGCCTCCCATCCCTCCCCTCGCCCAGTGGGCCCATGTGGTCCCACCCGATACCACCGACCTCCAGCAGCCCAGGGGGGTCAACGTGCTTCTATGGGAAAGCAGATTTACAGCTGCTTTCTGGCCCTGATGGCTGCCTAGCTGCAGCAGACAGTATATTTTGGGATCTCTGGATGAAAGGTACAACAGAAATCTTAGCTGCTATTTAAAAAAAAAAAAACACCAAAAGCCATAAGTACTGTAAAGCATTAAAGGAAAAGAACCAAATGTGTCTTTATGACTTGTCTCAGGACAGCAAAAGAGGGCAAATAGCGCTGGTGAATTATAAATAATGATGCTAAATAATAAATATCTCCAGAGCATAAATAAAGAGCCTGATCTTCAGATGGAGAAATGATCTTAAAAGGGCACTGTGGAAATATTTCCAAGGCAGTGGTTTTGTGCTCGCTGGATCGGCACCTCCCCCCCCAGCAAGGCTTCCGCAGTGGGATGAAGCTTTCTGCGCCTTTCTGGAATATCTTGATCAAATCAAACTGGCTGACCCTGAGCGTCACGAAAAGCAGTTGCTGAAAGAAACCTGAGGCTCCTGCTTTCTGAAAGCAGCTTTTAGGCACTTTGAAAAGGAGGTTTTGCCCCAAATCCACCCCTGGTTCTGGCCCTGCTGGTGCAGCCACCCAGACCTTCAGCCACCGCGTCCCACGCGGGGAGGGAAAGCGGCACGGCTGCCACGGAGCGGAGGGGCGGTGGTGGGGCACCATGCTCGGGCATCGTTAGGGCAAAGCAAGTGTGTGGGGACACAGCAGAACGAGCCCCAAATGCTGCCTCCCCCCAGATCCCACCCCAGGCCACATCCTCCACTTTCTGCAGCATTCCTGGCCCCCGGAGCAGGGAAGGTTGAACAGAAAAACACACCGCAAGCCAGGCTCGGAGACAAAGTCATCACACATCCCAGTCAAGAGGGAGAAATTTCTGCCTCTGCTGGGTCTCTGATACACAAACCCCCCAGGACCCCCCTGTACCACAGAATGCTGAACCCCCCCAAGCAGGGCTCCAAAAATCCTGTGCCAATGCCCCCAGCCCCAGCACGTCTGGATCTCCCTCCTGCTGAGGCCCCGTCGCTGCGTCGGGGGGGTTGGCCAAGGATGCTGTGACTCAAAAGCAAAGGCTGCAGCGGGTGCCCAGCGAACAATGCCACGTCCCCGCGAGGTTCTCATGCAAAGAGCTGCTCACGGCTCACCCGGGAGATGCCGACGATCTGCTCGGCTGGGAGCAGGCTGATGCGCATGAAGCAGGACTCGAAGCGAGCATCCTCCTTCTCCAGCAGGTCCTTGCCCTGCAGCAGTGTCACGTGCAAGGTGGCTGCCTTCCCGTCGTACTCCATGGACACCTCCACCTGCCCCACCGTGAAATCCTGCCCGAAGTTGTTCCCGATGGAGGAGATGGAGCTGAGGGAGTCAGCTGAGATGGATTTCTTCAAGGGGCCATATGAGGCCAGGCCCAGGTCTTTGCTCATCAGCTCCAGGCTCCCCAGCTCATTAATGCTCTCGAAGGTGTCATCCGCCCGCAGGCTGGTCTTTCGGGGGGGTGAGGTCTTATCCAGGGTCCTCTGTGAGCCCGGGGCCATCCCTCGCTGCGAACAGGGAAAGGAAAAGCAGGCGATGCAATCCCATCCCTTTGCCTGGAGCCGGGGACAGCTGGGACTTACCGGCACCTTTTTGGATGCCTTACAGCCCCCGCCTGGCCTCAAGCTGCCGCGGCAGCAGCCCTGCACCTCCTGCAGCTCCCAGGCCGCGCTGAGCAGCTCCATGCCGATCCCCCCAAGCTCTCCAGCAGCACCAGGCCACTGCCCACAGCTCCCCCCCGCCCCGAGGGGTCACCGCTGATATTTCTGCCCCTCCAGCAGCTTTGTGTGTTGCAGAGGGAAAGGAGGCGAGCCAAGCTTCCCACCCTTTTACCTTGTGTTTGACGTCGGAATATGCCGCCCCGTACTTCTGCTCCAGGTACCGGTAGTCGTAGTTGGGGAAGGGGGAAGGTGCCGGGTAGCTGCCAGAGCGCCAGAGCTTCCAGAGGTTGACAGCAGCCACCCCCAGCAGCACCAAGGCACCGGTGGCATAGATGCCGATCTCCCACCGTGGCGGGCTCGTGGCGACTGTGAGGGGACAAGAGGCACCATGAGCCAGCCCTGGGGCAGAGGCTTCATCCTCGGCTGCCTCCACGCCAAAAACTCAGCTCTAAGCTGTGAGGATGGGATCGGCCGAGTGGGTGGGTGGATAAACCGCAGGGTCTCACTTGGGCATGTTGCAAATGGCGTCAGGCAGCGGCTTTGCAAGCCAAGAAACCACAGTGCTGGCACTTTGTTTTCCTGGGAGGCAAAGGGCACGTGGATTTTTGTCCCGTTCCCCAGCAAACAAGGAGAATAGGAGAATTGCTGCATTGCCCCGGGGTGCTGGGGGGGCCCCCTCACCGGCTGCGGATCCATCCCACTCACCGAGGTGCTCAGTGCACGCCTGCATCACCCCTTCCACCGCAGGGAAACCCTCGCTGCTGACAGGTTTCCCACGGGCTGGGAATGCCAATAAAATCCAGAAATTGGGGGGGGGGGCGGGGAACAACAGATGAAAAGCTTTTGGAAACGGGAAAAACCCCACAACTGCTGCTGCTGTGACCCAGAGAGGAGAAAGACCAGGCTTGCGGCTGCAAAGCAGGGAGGACACGGCAGCCCCGTGATGGTACACTGAGCAGTTGTTGCTGCATTGCACCAGCCTCCATCACACCAGCGACTGAACCAACACCAATCACTCAGTGTAACACAAAAAAAAGGGGAAGAAAAAAAAAAAAAAGCAGCAGCTTTCTCATTACAGAGCACTGCCGGGGAGTCCTCCCGCGTCACACCGCGATGCTCCCTCCTTCAGCAGCAGCTTCAGAGCCAGAAAAAGCCCAGGGCAGCTGCCTCCCACAGCACACCCGGGCGGAGGGACACGCCGCCGCTCCCCCCGGCCTCCTGGGCAGGAGCTGGCGAAGGGACGTGGCGAAGGGAACCCGTTATTCGCGCCTGAACGGCCCAATTCGGACCCCACCGGAGGGCCACGAACAGCCCAGAGGGATCTCAGGGGGGTAACGCCTCGGGGTAGGAGCCAAATCCTGCTCCCTCCAGCCTCACCCCAGCCCCTTCAGCTCTGCAAAGGGCCGTGACTTCCCCCACACCACCTTGGCGAAGGATGCTGGGGGAAGCGCTGCAGCTTTCTAGGGCTCCCCTGCACGGCGAGGCCTTCGGTGCCATCCAGCTCCGCGGAGCTCACACGCTCCTGCTGCAGCCGAGGGGCAAAACTGGGGCAAAAGAACCCTTTACTGGCTCCTGCTTCTGAATAACCCCAGGGACAAAGCCCAGCTGAGCGGGAAACCCACTTCCTACTCACACCTGCCCATTTTCTAGGGTGAGTGGCTACCGATGGAAAGCTTGGGGCTTTAGAGGGTTGTACCCTTCCGTGAGGAAACTCAAACCCGTGCGCAGGTGACACCGGGGGCTCCTCCTGCCGAAGGCAGCGAGGATCAGCAATCCCTCCCGAGAGCAGCTCAGCGAACAAGCCCTGGGCAGCTCTGCCCCCAGAGCCCCTCCCCGGGGCTGGCTCAGTACTCACCGCTTGCGCGGTACCTGCTGACGTGCCCGTGGTCCATGGCCAACGCTCCCCGCTAGCGGGACAGCCTGCAATGCCGAGACAGTCAGTCAGGAGAGGGGCAAAAAATTTTAAAAGCTGTCTTTCCATTATTTTTTTTTTTTTTTAGCAGGCATGCTGACCAGCTTCTCCCCCTTCATCCCTCCTGGGCTTGGCTCCTCTTCCAGGCACAGAACAAACGTGTGCTGAAGCACCTCAGGCACTAACAGAGGAGCTAAAGGGGCTGCAAACCCCACGGGAAGCAGGAGAGCAGAGCCGCAGGATTTACCTCGGGAGAACTCAACGGGGGACATTTGCAATCGCTCTTCGCGTGGACGTCTGCCCTCCGGGAGCCCTTTAAGCTTTCCCGCAGCAGGGGAGCTCCAGCGCCTTCCTCCCCGAAGGGGTTTTCCCAGGCCGGCTCTATGCAAGATCCACCCTGGGCGTACGGCGGCCGCTGGCCCGAGCGAACCCCGCGAAGGCACCGCGCGATGCCAAGGGGATCTGCCGCGCCAGGGTGATTCCCGCTGCGCAAAAGGGGGTTTGGGAAACCCGGCCAGCTCCCAGCAAGAGAATCCATTTCGAACCGCGCCAGCTCCCCTCGCTCCCTGCCAGGAGGTCACAGAGCACGGACCCCGCAGACTGCAGCCCCTGAGGCCCAACCCCACCTTCAGCTCCACACTTCAACCCTCCCCTCCCCGGACCCCCCCCAAACCCTCTCCACAACTCACACAGCCCCAGACCCGCCTGGCATGCAGAGGAAGAGCTGGATCACCCTCGGGTGGGGGGTCACCCAGTATTTGGGTGCCACCTTCCAGCTCGTTTCAGACACCCACCGGTTCAGGCACTGTGGGAGTGATCAACCCCCCAAACCATCCAGGCCTGGATTTTAACAGGTCAAGGTGGAAACTGCTGTGCGTTATAGCATAAAGTATCAGTCATGCTGGCCTGACCCGGCTGGGGGACCCCACCGCAAGGGCCACCCTCGGGACAACAGCGGGGGGGGTTGGTTCTAAACATAACTGAGTTGTTAACCCAAAACACCAGCAAGGCTGGGACAGGGCTGGACGTGCCCATCTCCTCCCCCAACCTCCCTCCTCAAGCATAAACCTCTGTGTGCAGTGGCTAAACACTCGGTAATATCTTGGCTGAGAACGGGCTAAACTCATATACAGACTAAACTCAGCTTAAGGGACACTTTGCTGTTTAATGCTGGAAATCCGCACCAACATCTTAATAGCACAATCCGATGGAAATTTACCCAAAACAGCCTCATTTTATGTCTCGAAAAACTGTTGTGCCTAAGAGGCTCCCTTTCTTCCAAAGTTTCCTGGTGGCTTTTTTAAATATGAAAATCCAGAAGTTTTCAGGACCAACTTTCTCTGCCGAAGGGCAAACATCCCTTCTAAAACCTCTCCATTTCTTTCCAATTTTCCATTTCTTTCAATGCTTTTTCCCCCAAAACATCTCTTTCTCATGAGCTCTAAGCAGCAACTTGAGCAGATTTCCAAGGCATCACCCAGAGACACAAACTGACTGCAGCTTTCAGCTCAAATTCAATTAGGTGGCATTTCCTTATTAGCAAAACAATATCAGCCTTTCCTGAGTGAACCAACAAAGTGCAGGGTGCTTGGGGAAGGGATTTATTGCATTTTATGTCGTCCCCTCAACCTGCCTTTCAAATCCCTTCCTGGGAAATCAAATTCAAGGGATTGGGAGGAGACAAGCACCACGCTCCGGCAACACAGGGACGGCTGCTCCTTCCCACTGCTGAGGGACAAGGCAGCTTCGTTTGCCTGGAGAACTGCTGCAGAGCTCGGGACACCTTTTACTGCTTGGGGAGTGATAAAGTGTCTTGATGCGGGGAGAGAAACAGCACGTGTCCCCTCTGGAAGTAGGGGGGGCGTCCCCCCAGGCTTAGGGGGGGTGTTTTGGGACCATGACAGGCCAGGGCATGAAACAGCTCACACAGAAACCCCAGTTGCTGGTCCCAGAGCACCTGGACCGACACAGGTATGGCCCCATACCACGCAGACACACCACACACACACACACCCCCCGAGCATGCTGCAGCCCCCAAACGTCCCAATCTGAGTTGTAAAGCGCAGCAGTGATCTCCCAGTTCACCCTTTCCTTCCTGCCCTAACCCAGACACCATTGCCTGGCTTCACCAGGCACATGAGACCAGACTAAACTCATCTCAGTGCTGAGCTGGGCCCTCCAGCAGCACCCCTCCTCTCCTCCAGCACCAGCCCCACTGCTTGCACCCACCCCGGGCTCTGGGCAAGGCTTTTCCACCCTCCTCTGTCCCTCTCCTGCCCATGGGGGAAGCCCCATCTGGCCGTAAGCCCCAAGGCAGAAAAGTAAGATCAAATTTGTCAAAAAAAAAAAAAAAAAAAAAAAAAAAAAACACAAAGGTTTGGGCTCTGCCCCTTGTTCCTGCTCACCCCAGACTCGCTGGCCTCTTGCCCTCCCCATCCCACCACTGGAGCCGCAGAGACGAAGCAGCCGCTGTCCCGGCAGACCTACACCTCGGGAACAAGCCGGGCACCAATCCCACCTGATTTACACCCAAAGACGGGGACCCTGCACCACCCTGCGCCGGCCACGGGGCTCGGCACGGCAAGCGCCGGCTTCGCAAGCAGCTGGAGCCTGGATCCCTCCCAAGGCCTATTGCTGTATTTACCTGGGCAGGTAAAAATCACCGCGGGCAGGAAAAAAAAATAATCTTTGGGGCTCCGCGTAGAAGAGCGGGGACCCTCCCTGCGGCCTCCGGCGTTCGCTGAGCACCAGCAGCAGCAGCAGCGCGGCTGCTCCCCGGCCGTCCCCGAGAGGGGGGAAGAAATGCAGCAATTCCCGAGCTAGCCCGAGTGAGGGGAGTCTCGGGGATCTGGCCCCGCGCTCCCCACAGCCCCCCGCGGGTTCCTGGCTCCGGAAAGCCCCCGGCAGCGATGGGGGACAGGCTGCGGGGGCTCCGCTGCGGGCCTGGGGCCGGCTGCCGGGCTCCGCTCCCCAGCGCGGC